CATGCAGCTCGCGCGTTGCTGCTGCTGCTGCTTCGAGAGAGAGAAAAAGAGGGGCAGAGAGAGAGAAGAGTAGATAAAGAAGAGCGAGGGAACAGGTGTGCAGAGAGACGTCAAGGATCGCGCGCGCATATTATACACATTCGTTCCTTTAATTATGGCACTTAGGTACGAGCAATTTTTTTATCGAGCTGCGCCGGCGTATTTATACACGTATGTGTACGTGCTGTTGTTGTTGTTGTTCTTGACGATGTTAATTTGTTTTTTTTTTTCGCTACACGTACTATCCTTTCTTGTATAAATATAGAATGTAGTGGGCAAATCGATGCGCTTATCGTCGCGTTCGATCGACGCGTGTCTCTCGATCGGATCTCCATTGTGCGATACGCAGAAAAAATTATCCCTCCGCGCGCGTGTCTACGGCCTTTATCTAGCGTGACTCTCAATTTGCCGTGTGCTGCAAGAGGCACACAATTGCTAGATATACGTGTGTGTGTGTGCATCCAATGATTATACGCGTCGCGTCTATACGTGACAGGATATATTGCAGGAGAACCGCACGACGGACCCCCGACTCCGAGACGACGCGCAGCGCAGCCTTGATATACACGATGTATCTTCTGTGTTTATATAGTCGATGATACAGCGTTGAACGAAAAGACGACAAAAGATCGTCACGTGCAGGCGAGACCGAGAACCGATACATATAGATAAATAGCGAATGATATACGGATGTATTATGTTATACTGCACTAACTAATTCGATAGAGTCGTCTACAATCGTCTACACGTAGCGTCGTCGTTTGTTACGAGTCGATTTTAAAACGGGGAAAAAAATTCTTCTGCCTGTCGTCGTCGACGTGTTTATATGCAACAACAGTCCATGCGCAGACACCTACGCTGGCAACGTACGTGTATACGTCTGCACTGCTGCTCGCGGTGTAACGTGAAAAATGGGTGAAACGTGTTTGCCTATATACAGACACACACACAGACACACACCCATAATAGAGGTGAACACACGTTATGTTATATTAGTTATTTACACATCAAGGGCTGTATGCGGTGTGGATACAGTCGAGGTGTGTTTGCAGCGTTGGGGCGCTGTAGTCGCCGAGGCTGCGTAGCGAAGCGAAGCAGCCGAGGCACTACAGCGTCCGCAACGCTGCAAACACGCTGAGACGTATCCACACCGCTAACAGCCATTGATGTGTTAACAATTTTTCTGCATAAGAGCTCGTTTTGAGAACTATATCATGCATAATTGTTATGTTCCATTTAATTTCTTTATAGCACTCTAAACTAAAAACTGTAACTTGGCCGCTAGTTTTCGGCTCTCGTCTACATACTGTATATGCGTATGTCTCGTGTAAAATACTGTACATGCAACTTGTGTGGATATGTTTTTTCTGAAAAACGAGAGGTTGCATAAAGCACTGGTTGTGCCAACTTGAATCTCATTACACTGATTTTCCTAGTGTCTTGATGAGTAGAGTCGGTATAACATCGGTCACGCTGCATTTCTTTCCATTATTCAGTTTCTACTGCTTCATTTTTACAGTCATCGTGTTTAGTGCGAACACAAACATGAATTAAAAATGACATTTCTATCTCGTGTAGATATGTTTTTATTCAAGAAAGAGAGGTTAAAGGCAGCGCGAGTTGGCCTGCCACTTTGACATGTAGCAGACAGCACAGGCTACACGCACGCGAGCTGAGCGAGTCGTCTCGGCTCGAGTCTGCGGGATCGCATACAGTCGAGGAGAGCAGCGCGCTACGTGGCGACAATTCACACTTCTCCTCGACTGTAATCAGGGCTCCTCGACTGTAATCAGGGCTCCTCGACCTGTATTCAATTGATTTCAGTACGAGGAGAAGTGTGAATTGTCGCCACATAGCGCGCTGCTCTCCTCGACTGTATACGAATGCCTTACTCACTGAGCACGCTCAGCGCGAAATCAGCCTCAAACGGGCTCGTATGCTGAAAACATTATTATATACTTTTCTCGAGACTCAAACTGGTTCTGTTTCTCTCGAAGCCTATGCGCGATGGCTATAGCATTAAACCGCGGCTTACCCGCGTGTACACGCGAACGAGATTTTATTATATTGGCCTTTTGACTTTTTCCGCTTCGGACGCTTATAGGTATAGGCCGTGTGCGAGCTCGGCTGCTGCTGCTCCTTCGTTCTTTCTTTCTCTCCTCTTGTATTATTATGTGCCCTTCATCGCGTTTATGCGCGGTATCCGCAGCACATAAGACAGAGAGAGAGACAGAGAAGGAGGAGGAGGAGGCGGCGGCGGCCCTCTCGTTGTTGTTTCGAGGGGTTTTTCATTTTGCAGGCAAGAGGGTTCTTGGTCGACGCGCGAGCGAGCGCACCTTACTATAAGACCGCACGAGTGAGAGAAAGAGAGAAAAGAGAGTTAGTGACTTTTTACTCCTCCCAAGTAAAGCTGCTGCGGCTGCTGAGGATTGCCATGTTCACCTTGAATTCTTTGCCCGACGAGTAGCAAGATCAGCAGCAGCAGCAGCTGCTTAATATTTTGGCCATTTTTATCAGAAAAATTATTGCCTTGAATTATCTTTATACTATGCGGATTATTGTCGCGCGTTTCAATTTTTATTTATAAACGCACGTTTATGATACGCGTGAATATTATCGGCACGATTGTTGAAATTGAAACACGTTTTTTCTCGATCTTTCGCGAACAAAATGACAATATTAAAATTATGAATGGAATTTTCTAAAGATGTTTGTATATGAGAAAAGAAAAACATTTGGTAAATTAACTCTCGATACTTCACTGGTGTATCAATTCATAACATTTTTCAGTCTTTATAATTCATCGTTATACAGCTGGCTTTTTTTACAGTCGATAATTTTCTTTTGACAGAACGTCACTTCCGATACTCGAATTCGCGCATAACGATTACTTTGCTAAATGCACTTGCGGAAGTGCAATTAGCCATTCAAAGTCTCGCCCCCTCTTTAGGCGAACGTGTTCAATTTCCCACGATCTGATTTGACTCGAAGCTATTAGTAAAATGTTCTCTATCTCTCTCTCTCTCGAAACGATTAATGCATACTCATAACGATTTATTCGTTTAATCGCAAGAATAAAATTTATATGTCTGCACCGATACGCTAGAGATACTTTATACCAAAGTGAAGTAAAAATTTTACTCGACACACAATAGAAACTTGTACATGTACGGCTGAACGGACGGTATTGTACATAGGTATACGCACGCACGAATCGACCATATAGATATACCGTATTAACCTGCGCGAAGCTTTCAATATATATATATATATAAACACCGTGTGCACTTGCTTTTGCCGCGATACGCTTTGGTATAAGTGCGCAAAGGCAGCCCCCGTTGCAGCAGCAGACAGACACGCGACGATGATCGTGCGTGCGTATACGTATTATTATTATATACATCGGTGGTGGCGATGAAAAGGAAAAAAATTATTACGAGATATTCATAATGCCGATGTTACCTGTTTATAATATACCTGCGTGGATATACATGTACGCAGAACTAAAAACTCGCGCGAAGAGAAAGTCTACATATCCAAAAGTGACTGTACGTATCTGCGCGAGCTACATTTGTCTCGTAGCTATATTACAATATATAATGTATTTCTCGAGCTGTTATCGGATATTCGCACTATTGTGTTGTGCGCCTATGATTTTTGTTATATCATAACGCAATGATACATAGACGTATCTGTTTTCGAAGCTAAGGGCGATTGTCCATAGCGACGAAAAAATATTGCTCGATATTTATTATCGATGGTTGAAAAGTAATAGATTATAATAACTCGAGACGCGTTGTCAATAAAAAAATATCCGATTCGAATTTATTTACAGATCTAGACGCACCGATCTGTATTATATACGTTTCATCGTGAGGTTAATTCCAAGGCGAAGATCGGCGATAATCACGCGCTCGTTGCATAAGTTTTAATTGCTCAACGCGATCATCATCGTATACGCATATAAGTGGGTTCGGTAAAAGCCAGCGATGCTTCCAATTGAAATTGGACTTACTCTATGCGCTCGATTTCTTTTGAAAATTTGTCACTCAATAACTCGTTGAATAGCAGAGATCGCGCTTTTATAAGCTTGTAATCCGATTTCATTGTATGAAAGAGAATAATATGCAGCAATTAATTGAGAGCGAGATCGAGAGCCAGCCTATACGAAGTTCGCAACGCGACGAAATAATAGCTGTAAACGAGTTTAACTTTTGAGTCCGAATTCCATCGCTTGTTGACACAATGGAGGGGGGAAAATATATATGACAAGTTGTAATATCGTTTTTTACATTTCGCCTATAATTGATAAGATTTCCCTTGTCCTATATACGCTCAGGATCTATACGGCTACGGGTAAGCATCGATTTATCTGACGTTCGTATAATATACCTTATCTCGTTGTGACTCGTGTGCGAAATTGTATCAGTAAAGATTGACTTCCTACTATGCGTGGACAAACTTTTCGGAGCTTTCGTGAGTCATGTTTTTGTACCCAATCTGTGTCGAACACGAGCGAAGATTAATCTCTTAGTGTCGAATTTTGAGGTACGAAATTCATGAATTGTAGGGACAAAAACAACATTTGTATAAAGATTAGCCCAACTTTACTCCTTTGGCAGCAAATCTTAAAATTAAATTGAAAAGTTCGCAAAAATTCACACGATAGAGAAATGTATATCTACAGTAAATGCCATTAATGAATTCTTTTTAACAAGTCTATATATTTTACGCTATAATTACTTGGTCCGAATCTAGAAAAGCGAAATTATTTTCCCAAGCCTGTCATCCAATTCTTTATTAGCATTGCAAACGAAAATGATCGAAGCTCTCACGTGATTGAAAAAAAATTCATTTACTAATGTTTACGATTATACAGGCAAGATAGCGACACTTAATTAGCTCTTTGATAATTACTCACATCATGGATCAATTCTTGAATAAATGTTTGTTCGTTACAGGTCCTTGGGTCGATAGTCGAATGAATACGTTCCGAATGCAGGACTCATCGTTCTCAATAAGGACGACAACGACGACGACGAATAGATCCACGCCGAGGTTCCTCGAGCCGCGTCCGATGCAGCAGCAGCGGCTTTGTCGTCAGTAAAAGTGCTAGACGGCGAGAGCTCTCAATCTGTATCGATCGCTCACACACACGCACACTAACGAGGGCGCTAGGGCCTTGTGTCGTCACGCACACTCGCTAATCAGCCTTAGCGTAAATAATACTCGCGACCGGAATACACCCCCAGCAAAGCAGCAGCAGCAACAGCAGCAACAGCAGCAGTGGCATTAGCCGCTAGTCAATAAAAACTAGGGCAGAAAGAGAATCGGAATAGAAAAAAGAAGAGAGAAAGAAAAGAAAAATGGGTAACTGCCTGAGCTGCCAGAGCGACGTGGAGAAGGAGAAGCCCGATCGGATTTGCAATCCGAGCATCGAGGCGGTCACGTCGCAGGTCTCGCCAGTGCCCACGCCGCCACCGGACCCGATCAGACCGATGCCGCAGATACCGGACGGCGGCGACGTGCCCACGGCCAAGATCTTCGTCGCTCTCTACGACTACGACGCGAGGACGGACGAGGACCTGAGCTTCCGCAAGGGCGAGCACCTCGAGATACTGAACGACACGCAGGGCGACTGGTGGCTGGCGCGCAGCAAGCGCACCCGCCAGGAGGGCTACATACCCAGCAATTACGTCGCCAAGCTCAAGTCCATCGAGGCCGAGCCGTAAGTTCTTTCTTCTTATTCTTCTTCTTCTTCTTTTTTCGGCTTTTTTTTGAAGCGCACTTGATCGTTATTGCGAGCACGCGCGGGACCTAATTTTTTTTCTTTCTTTTTGTTCGGTATACCTAGTTCGAATGCAGAACGAGTACTTACTCGCGAGAGCTCTTTCTCGCTCATAAATTAATCGCCGATTCTTCTTTTATTCGATTACCGGGAAAATAGGATTACAGCCGACGCTCGCGCGTATACGCGCGAAACTTCTATCGCGCATTCGACTCGCGCGGCGCCGCACGCCTGCCCGGCTTATATAACTCTTATTTTCTATCAATCGTCCGATCGGCGCGCACGGTTAATTAACAACTTCGCGTATAACGTAGGTAAAATAAAAAATAAAGGATATGCGCGAAATCGGCAACTGCCGCGCCGACGGCCGTCTAATGTAAAAATTACTTTATATCAAAGCATAAAACTCTATTTTTTTGTCGTCGTCGTCGTCGCACTCGTTATTACGTTAATTCCATCCCGTCGTAAACTTCAATGTAACGTTGTTGAAGAGAGTCGCATGGAGCTCTCGCTCGTATAGCGGTTGAGAAACGAGCAACACATAGCGATTTCAATCTCTCTCTCTCTGTCTCTCGCTGCGGTGTAAAATCGTGCGCGGCGGTGAGTCGCGACCTTGCTTTCACCTATTCTCTCTCTGTCTTTCTCTCTTTTCTGCACTATGCACTCGTATATACCTATGCCGCGTGCCGTGCACTGCAACCGTGCACACCATTGACTAATCCGCGAGTTATAACCCGTAGCAGCAGCAGCAGCTCGCTGTAACGTCAATTTATGCACCAGCAGCTACTTATGCACGCACGCACACACTCGCGCACAATTTTATACAGACAATGAAGCTGTGACTTTTCTGGAAAAAGGGCGTATTAATCGTTGTGTCGCGAGACAGCATGCCATTCTCGCGGGAGAAAAGTTCCGCGGCTTCGGAAAAAACGATTCGCAACGCGCCCATTCATTCGATCGTTCGATCCTCGCGAAAAAGACGCAGCTTCTCTGCTTCGCTCGTTGTAAAATGTCGAATTTCCCTTGAGTTTTTTCTTCAATATTTCTAAGCAGTAATGAAATGATAATAATTTGCATTATTTGTTGTTTTTCAGGTGGTATTTTCGAAAAATTAAGAGAATCGAAGCAGAAAAAAAACTCTTACTTCCTGAAAATGATCACGGTGCTTTCTTGATCCGAGATTCTGAAAGCAGACACAATGATTATTCCCTTTCAGGTATGAAAGACTTTTCTCTTTCAGGTATGTGTTCGTAACGAACGTAACATTTTTATTTTTCATTTTTTTTCTTTATCATCAGATGCGTCCGCGCAGTAGAAAAGAAAATGTGCCGTTTTAAAGTCGAAGATTGTAATTGCTCTTCCGTCTTGTGTACACGCGCTGCGTATGAAGAAAATACAAAGAGCCATTGATTGATAAAATTGATGGATCGCGCGCGCGTTGTAGCTTTTCACGTTGTTGTTCGTGTATTAATATGTGTGTGCAATAATACGTGTTTTCCTCGTTGCCGCGTCTACGATGATGCATTATACACATGTTTAAGAGGCAGTAAAACGTCGAGTATCTGTAACATGACGCACGATTTGCCGCATATATAATTATGTACCGCGACGATAAAGTCTTGTAAAACCTCGACGTATACATAGATATATCTCATTGCCATTTGCCGTATGGCGTTTTTGATTTATTATTATTTTATTTTTTATTGCAAAAGGCTCATAGTATCGGGAAAAGTTTTTCTCTCTCGGGATCACGCGTATGTGTGTTTGCATCTCGAGTGATCGTGGCTTACGATGAATAATTGTTTTCTATTTTTCCAGTTCGCGACGGCGACACGGTCAAGCACTACCGAATTCGACAGCTGGACGAGGGGGGCTTCTTCATTGCGAGAAGGACTACTTTCAGAAATCTGCAGGATCTCGTGGCTTACTACAGCAAGGATGCCGACGGTCTTTGCGTCAATTTGTGCAAGCCCTGCGTACAGGTAAGATGGCTAATTCATGTACTTGATTATTCTACGTTATTGCGAAATTTTCTAAATAAAATTTATTTAATGCTGTATTTATAATGTCGGGAAAATATTCAATTGATTGCGTCCGTTATTACATAAATGAGTGTAGTACAGCTTTGGATAGTTCTAAAAATACGTGAAGTTATAAGGTAATAACGAAATTATATCGTTTTCATCAAGATTTACACGCTTTTTATGGACCAATTAAAGAATAATTGCACATTTGAAAGAATGACGCAAATATTATGAAGGATTTTTCATACAAAATAACTAATTTTTCCATTAAACACTTAGCAGGATAATAGTTAGTTTGTTCGATGAGGATTCATCAGGTGCAAAAGATTAACTGCATATTAGCATAAGTCTACCTAGTATTAATATTTATTTTAACGAATTATTCTTTTATCTGTTTTTGGCTAACTTTCTTTATACTGGATATTCTTGGTAAATTTAATGATTCTTGTGAAAACTCATGACAAACATTCGCACAACCATGTCGCTCCTCGCTTGTAATCAGTATCAAAGTGTTTTTCATGAAATCATTGTATTTCATATCACAAGATCTTGATCCGTTGTTTCGAATATTTCATTTTATTTTTCGTTTCACCCATTTTATTGACGACAGCGTATCACCAAATACCAAATGGATTGTACTAACAAATATGTATTAAAAGATGATCCACGTAGTCATAAATTTCTTTTTTGTAATAATATAATGCATATCCTACTTTTTTTCTAAATAAAAGACAAATAGATTAACTATTGAAGTAGCAATAACATTTTATGACGGTATCATTAAGATAACGAAAAACATGGTAAAACTTTCTTGGTTAAATGCACCTACTAAAATCAAAATAATAATGCTAGCTCATAAAGTTGAATTAGGGCTACATAAAAGCATACTACAGGAAAACCCAGTAATTTTATTTAGATCCTACTAACATTAAAATTGCAATCATAATAATTTCCAATAAAATTCGATGGAGTATTTTCATAAACAAAAATATTGCTGCACTCGATGTTTACATAATCAAAATTATCAGTTACCATATTTATACTATCAGTACAAAATCATCAGTACCAATAATCATTTTCACAGATATTGTTGAAAATCAGTCGATGCTTAGTTCGTCTAACATAAAATGTTTTAGAACCATGTAATTAAATAACTCACTGCTCATATATATCAGAAATCAATGAACATAAATATTCTCTGTCTTATGATGTACTAAATATTACTTACGTTATTATAGGTGGAGAAACCCGTGACCGAAGGTTTGAGTCACAGAACGCGGGATCAATGGGAAATCGACAGAACGAGCCTGAAATTCGTTCGAAAACTCGGACAGGGACAGTTCGGTGAAGTATGGGAGGGTCTCTGGAACAACACAACGGCCGTAGCCATCAAGACCCTCAAGCCCGGTACGATGGATCCCAAAGATTTCCTCGCTGAAGCTCAAATCATGAAAAAATTACGACACGGCAAACTCATACAACTGTATGCCGTTTGTACCATGGAAGAGCCCATTTACATCATAACCGAACTTATGAGAAATGGTAGCTTATTGGAGTATCTTCAAGGTAAATATCTGAGTTATAACTCACAACGAAAGTCGTAAAGAAGTTTGCTGAATTTAATGAAATCGTTTTTACCAGGCAAGGGACGAGGATTGAAGCTTCAACAGCTGATCGATATGTCAGCACAGATAGCCGCTGGTATGGCTTATCTCGAGTCGCAGAATTACATTCATCGAGATTTGGCTGCTCGAAACGTTCTCGTAGCCGATGGTAATGTCGTAAAAATTGCCGACTTCGGCTTAGCTAGGCTAATTAAAGAAGACGAATACGAGGCGCGAATCGGCGCGCGTTTCCCCATCAAGTGGACTGCTCCAGAGGCCGCCAACTACAGCAAATTCAGCATCAAGTCCGACGTTTGGTCTTTCGGTATTCTGCTGACGGAACTCGTTACTTACGGAAGAATACCTTATCCTGGTAAGTGCAACGACTTCAGCTGATCTTTGACATTACAATAGTGGAATTCGAAATTAATTTACCCGTGTTTCTAGGAATGACAAATGCCGAGGTTCTTCATCAAGTCGAGCATGGCTATCGTATGCCATGTCCGCCTGGTTGCCCCTCGAATCTTTACGACATCATGATAGAGTGCTGGAACAAAGACCCGATGAAGAGACCGACCTTCGAGACCCTGCAATGGAAGCTCGAGGACTTCTTTACTATGGAGGGCTCCGAGTATAAAGAGGCATCGGCTTACTGAGTAATAGCCGCTGCGAGTTTGCTCTAAAGAGTGAGCTGCGCAGTTTTCTTTTTAGTGATCGCGGTGCTCGCCCGAAAAACTGAGCTACCAGTTTTAACGGAATATCACCGTGATTGTGCATTTATGGATTGCGTTACGTTAAATATTAACTTGAATGACCGCAAGAATGATGAATTTAAATTTGACGACATTTTTACGTACTAGTCGCTCTTGAATTTCACGTAAGTTATGCAGTTATTGATGTTATCTAATGAAGCCTGGAGATTACGTTTTTAAGAAAACGAAAATTAAAATTTAGCTGAATAACAGTTAATACTTACTCTCATTATATTAGTTAGCCTTTTTCTATACCTCGGCCATTTTCGATTTCAATAAATACCAATATTTATTATGAATTTATAAATAATAAATACGAGACACGCACAATCACACTAATACACGTACGCGCGTACAAATCGGACAAAGCAATCCAGTACAAATTTTGATTTTGAATTATAAATATACACTATGTCTTATGTTTTAAGAATCGACCATAAAAATAATGGAGCGATCTGATGTGTGTTCTAATTAAAAATTCCCTAGTAACTAATTAACTTCTCTTATGTACCTAGTGCATTGTAAATAATTAAAATTTTTGTTAACAATAACAACTCGGGCGAAGGAATTATTATATTATACTATAATTAAAAATTTTAATACTGTAGTTAAATGTAAGCAAACTCCTACGGGAACATTCAATTTAGTTATTTTATAACGTGTAAAATGTTAAATTGAATGAAAAAAATGAATTGAATCACCTCTCTTTTGCTATCAATATTGATTATTCATAGCAAAAATAGATTGATCATGAATCTCGATCATCATCATTGATATTGTTGAAATCGAAATGAAGCCATTATTGGTAAGCTTTTTTGTGAAGGGAAGTGCTATCAAAATAAATGGTCATTGATGTTTTATTTAATAACGTTACGTATATCGTTTATACTTTAGAGCCAACTTATGACCGAAGAAAAGAAAACTGTGTATTGTACTCTGAAGAAGAAAAAAAATTCGCAAATTTATTCTTTATCAATTTTACTCTTTGGGGTATAACTTGTATGAATGAGAATAACAATTCAATAATGAATCTATGATTTGCTAGATTTTTTATGTCACATCAACTAGTACAACAGCTGTACCGTGCTAAGCATACAATGAACGCTTTTCTCGCGATCGGACTGACAATGTGCATGATTTTTTTGCGTGCAAAGTTGTAATGCGTGTGCTCAAATAAAGTAGAGCTTTTCAATACGTTTTGAATCTATGTAGAACAAAGTTTGTGATATTTTACACAATGAAAAAAGTACTAAGGTGACACTAAGTTGCAGACCTAGTGATTATTATGACGTTTAGTGAAGTGTGGTACCATGTATTTTATTTTGAAATATTTTTTTATTTTTATTGAGGTAATACTTTTAATGTTATTTTTTATTATTAATTTATGGTTACATCATTATATAATTTTATTTGTTCATTATCATATTCTGGCTGCCATATGAAAAAATGGAGATAGAAGTATCATACGGTTTCACTACGTTAACATTGGTACTCAACGTTTATTACAATTATTAAAATACTTTGACACAAAATACATTTTAGATATTGTTACTCATGATTAAAAATTCTTCGTAAAATTCATCTTAGTAGTATCTATGATTTTAAATTCAGTGTATATTAAAGCAATTATTTATACCCGATTCTCAGTAAACTGCAATTAGATTTAGTTGGAAATAGTTGCATAAGTACAATATTCTTCAAAAGTATGGTAAAAAATTTTTCGTATCAATTGTTTTTTTTACCAATACTTTAACAATGATTTTACTATTTTGGTACTCTGAAACTCTTAAGCTAATGAAAAATAAAGTAATTGCCAACTTTATTTTGGCATAAATATTCGTGTTTAAAAAACTCGCCTTTGATTATGTAAAATTATTAAAGCTGGTCTCTACTGAATTGCTCGACTAGTATGTGCTTTCCTATTTGTCATTATTCAAGGGTATGGCCTAAATGGAATAATATTTTTTAGAGAAAAGTTTGCTAGAATGTTTCATGCAGGGTATCGAGCATGATGAATCAGTTATAATTTCTTAGCTTTCTTTCATGCCAGACATAGCTTTGTAAATATTTAACATGCGTTCAAGTGAGATTTGTAAAAATTAAAATATATATTTACTAAAGAAGTAAAAAAATATTTATTAACAAAGATAAATCATCTTCATCAAAATAAGATTGTCTATTGCGTATATAATAACATTGATTCTAAACTTGACATTGGTATTTCCGAATATTTTACCAATGTACAGGAAATAACGTAAATTTATTCAAATATCGCAATAATAAAATTTTTTATTATAACATTTAGCGTTGATTGCCAACCCTTAATAATGAAATTTTAGTACTGTATTTACATGTGTCGAATATCTAAATATTAAGTTACTGTAAGAAAAATAGTCATTAACAATAATACTAATGGTAGTGATAAAGATAAAAAAATCATTAAAAGCCTCCATTTTAAACAAGAATCATGATGATGAATGTCTGGAAAGTGTTTGTATAATTGTAAGAAAAGTGTAATTAATTGTTAAGCTTTTACTGAGCGAATATGATTCCAATGTATTTTATTTTTTTATGTTAATTGTATTTCGTAAGCTACGCAAAGTTATAAATTACTTCTCGCACGTAAAACTTCATTTTTTTTGTTGCTGTTAAATTACTGCTTGTAAAGGAGTTGCTGGCTCTTTTCATACAGTTAATTTGCATACTTGTAATCATAAGATATTGTAAATTCTAATTCGTTTGTAGTAAATATCATTTCATAATAAACGACTACGAGAGATTTTTATTCTAATTCGATGTATGATTGTGAAAATGTTAGCTGTACTCTAAATTAATCTAATGTTTTACAATGATGTAAATTAGATAATTTTGTACTTTTCGCCTTGTTACTTCTGAAAGAATCGTCTCGGAAAATATGAAAAGTGACGACGAAAGTGACATTTAAGGGTTGATCGGGACCATCCCGTAACGAGTCTTAAAAATTGAACAGCAAGATGAAATGTCAATTTTCCAATGTAATTATCTTGTGCGTCGTAATTTTTTTTTATTATCGACTGTAACATAAACTACTGTTTATTAAATCAACTTGTTTATTCATTTATTCAAAAAATAATTACCTGAAATACCTTATCAAATTGTTATTTTAATATTCTTATGGATTTCTTATGGATTTTTTATTATTTTAAATCAAAATACATATTATAAAGTTGTTTTATAAAGGCAAGAACATTTCACAAATAATTTTACAGGATCTCTGATAAAAAAATCTAGATCTACAAGGGATTCACCTACCGTTTTTAGGAACACTGGGAAAAAAGGAAATGTAATAAAATCAACCCACTTTTTTATTTTTGAGTTTATTATTCAATAAGTGACGTATGTTCTACGCTACTTAAAACTATTTTATCATAAATTATGTGGCAGTTTTTGTAATTATAATGGGAAAAGGTCGTGGTAAAATCCATATTCTCAATACAAATCTGTTCTTTTTTATTCGCATCGATAGCACAATTTAAGTTTTTATGAATTGTTGCAGTCAGTAAACTGTACTATCCTTTGAGCATGCACACACCATTTTTTTAAAAATATTTTTGAAAATTAAGTATTTAAAATGAAAAAATATAATGACTCGAGGAAATCATAAAATATTGCAACTTTTCATTCGTTAAAAATCATATGTTGTGTTATCAACTGAAAATGGCTAATAACTAAAGTCCGTATTCAATTTGTGTGTCCATTGAATCGCAATACCGATGATAATTACAATATATATCATTCTGATTTATTTTTTTCAATCTATTGCGCATTTCAAAAATGCGCCTATTGTCCAGAAGACCTATAAATTAGGACCAGCCTAATAATATTTTTTTTTTTCCTGACTAGAACATCACATATTATTTTCGATTGAGAATTTTTTCCTTAGAATAAATCTCTGATATACTCAATTGCTATTAGCTCGTGATACTCTACACGTCTTCACGTATCGACTAAAATTTGTGAATTTTCTTTCTAATCTATGACAAATGACCTTCATATACGGCAGTCTTGAGTCTTTTTTATTCTCATGAGAATATCTTTAAATTGAATCGTTGGCATTTAATAAGGATGAATTGCGGCAATAAATGAGCGCTATGTTCTCTTTTCGGCAGCTGATTTTTCGAAAAAATTCTTCGCGATTTATTTCTAAAATTCGGAATCGCTCTGCATCTATTTATGACAATGGCAAATTTCAATTAAAGGTATTCCCATAAAAGATTCAATTGTCATTGATTATTTTTGATCCTCTGTTTCAGAGGTATACACATCCACTGTATACATTCATTATATTTTCCTTATAATTAAATCTTAAACAATTAATATTTTAGTTATACTTAATCTCACTTGATGCGTTTTGAATTTGAATATTTTGTGCAGTTTCGTACTTGCATTTTTTTTGTCCTCTAATAGATTTGAATTTTTTTTCTTTTTCTTACAATTATCGTAATATTATGGTGTTTGTTTTGTTAAATGTATTCATGCTTCGGAATGATTTCACGTTGAAGTGCTAAAACCTTTCAAAATGTAGAAAATGTTTTGTTTTAATCGTGCACACTGGAATGAAATCAAAACGTTTCTACGATTTGTTCGGTGCTCGCTCAACTCTCGCTCCAACTCTCTCTCCTTTCAATGAATAAATTTTGAATAAACTTAAAGAAAAAAGTGATCATAAACTTTCGTCGATAATCTCGTCGATTATATTCATATAACAGCAGCGCGCGCGTATAATAATGTTATTATTTTCAATGGAGCGTCACGAATTTTTTTTCCCCCCATGCAAGCGTTGTATTATTTTGATGATTTTTTTTTTCGTTATTATATAATTATTATGTGAAATATGGTTATTTTAGTACGTTATCATATTTGTTAAGTTATACATAGTATAGCTGGCAGTACACGTGTATATAATGTAATCCGACGACACTGATATACAGCGGATAAGTACAACGGCGTGTTTATACTGCGATCGAAGATATTCGAGTTGGACAAAAAAAAAGGCGAAAACAACAAAAAAAGTTTTTTTTCTCTCCCGAATTCGTATACAGAGAATGGGGGGGGGCTAAAAACGATACGCCTTTAATCGGATTTTATCGAACGATATCGAAGCTTTCGACGCGAGCGTATATTTACGCATACGCTTGATAAACAGCTTCGCGCGAGCTTTTTTCGCTGCTGCAAGCTCATCGTCGTCATACACACGCACACGCACGCGCGCACATACGCACACTCACACATTTACACACGGCTCTCGGTATACAGTACCAGTCACACGGGCATCATTTTTTGTGCGCTCGAAAAATAATCGAATCTCGCCCGCTCTATATATAATTGAAAACAAAAACTAAAAGAAAGAAAAAGGAAAGTAAAAAAAGGATCTAAGCCCAGACGCGCAGCGTCGTGTCCCAGCTGCCCGTCGAGAGGGCGGTGCCGTCCGGCGAGACGCGCAGACACGAGACCCGATTCTCGTGGCCGTAGAGCAGAGCCACCCGCTGGCACTTGAGCGTGTCCCAGACGTTGACCGTGTAATCGTTGTAGCCGGCGAAGAGCAGTCGGCCGCTGATGGAAAGGTCGACGGCGTTGGCCCCGAAGATGATGGACTCCTTGGTGTAGGAGGCCACCTCCTTGTCGGCCCTGAGATCGAAGAGTCGACAGGTGGCGTCGTCCGAGCCCGTGGCCACGGCGTCGCCGCTCGGATGGAAGCGCACCGAGTTCACGTCGGACTCGTGGCCCTCGAAGCTCTGCACGCACTGGCCGCTGCGCATGTCCCAGATGAACACGAGCTTGTCGCAGCTGCCCGAGACGAAGGTGTTGCCGGTCTCGCTGGGCGCGAGATCGATCGACATCACCGAGTCCGAGTGGCCGTGGAAGTTCTGCAGCAGCTGGCCGCTCTCGACGTCCCACAGGGCGCAGGTCGAGTCGCCGCTGCCCGTCAGCACCTGCTGGTCGCTGTTGGGGAAGGCGCAGCAGGACGTGTACGACGTGTGCGTGCCCACCGTCTTCTTTTTCGCCGAGACGTCGTCCTCGAGGCTCAGCGGGTAGACGGTCACTTTGTTGTCGAGGCCACTGCAAAGCAGCGCACCGAGCAGCGCAACGTAAGGCTCGGAACGTTTGCGAGTCCAATGTAATATATGGGCTACTACTTACCCGCAGGCGACGAGCTGGCCGCTCGGCGCGTAGGCGCAGGCGATGACCCAGGTCGTGGGCATGGTCACCGCGTGCTCCTTGTTCGTCGTGAAAGCGTCCCAGATGATCATTTTGCCATCCTGCGCGGTCGAACGAGAAACGGAACAACAATAAAAAAAAAACGATTATCGAGGATTACCCGAAATCGATACGCGAATGAAAGTACAAGTCTATGCTACGTACCTGGGAGGATGAGACGATGTGTCTTTTGTCGGGCGACCAATCCGAGCACAAGACTTTGGCTTGGTGACCCTTGAGGACTCTGCGCGGCTTCACATTGATGCAGCTTATTGGCTCGAGCCGGTCGGCAACGACGGATACTGCACGCGCAAAAAAACCACCACCACCACCCGAATGCGTCGAGTCGATGACATTTTTTAGGGGAAAATTAAAATACGCAGTGGTAAAATTTATATTTTTTTATACTCACGCGTGACATCGTTGAGCTTTTGCCGCTCGTCGTCGAGGCGAATCTTCAAGGACTCCGCCTCTCGGGCCAGTCGCTCGATGTGCTCGGTCTCGCTGACCGCCCCGTCCATTGCTTCGGATCAACGATTGTCTGCAAAGTTACGCAATTTACTTCTTTTGTTGTTGTTGTTGTTGTTGTTGTTGTTGTTGTAACAAGTTCAATAATCGCATTATAGTTTCTACTCCGAAAATAAAATGAATACTCTTTTTTTCGTTTTTAATTTCAACGCGGATGTTTCATTTACCGTGAAAGTAATAACGCGCCTCATAAAAAATGTAATACCTACGCGCCCGATGCACCGCGTGTTTTATTTTCATTTTTTCTCTCTCTCTCTCTCTCTCTCTCTCTCTCCAGGCGCTCGTCGCCCGCAAACGAGAGTCAACGCGCTACTTACTACGCGCGAGTATGTATACGTACACACAACGATATGTACACATGCAATTCTGCACTAGCACACACACACACACGAGACTCATCAAGCGCTCGTTATTATATACCCTCGTCGCACACGCGTATACATCACGCTACGCGTATAATGTGTCGCACAGTCGCTCTCTTTCTCTCGTTATTATTTGTACAGCTAAAAAAAAAAATGAGCCAGAAAACAGGTTCGTCTTTTGCTCTCGTGCCCGAGAAAAATATCGATTAAGCTCACATGAGATTCGCGCGCGGGAGCTTTTACGGTGGTGCCTGTTAGCCGAAGAAAGGTGATATTCGATACCAGATCTTTTTCCTTTTAGTTTTTTTCTCTTATGAAGTGACCTTTCTTGCGATCCAAGCGAGTAATCGGAGACACACACGTGTAAACGAGATTCAGATGGATTCTCATTGGGAACGAGAATCCATTACGTTTACACGAATGGCATTAAAACAGGAGAAGAATTGAATTGTCGAAAAAATGTGCGACAATGAGGACGATTATTATTCACGCTCGAAGCAACGCGTCGACGCGCGCGAAAAGCACATCTCTATCATCATCATCATCATTATCATGATTAAGTATACGCCCCGAGTTTAAGGCAGAGAGAAAACGAGAGACGATCGGGCCGTTTTCTTTCAGGAAGGCGCTTCGATACGATCGTGCCGTTAATAATCATCATCGAGCTTTCGTGGAGTAGCCGTGTTTCTCACTTTTTTCAATTGTCAATTGTCGATTGAATTTTTCGAGACGAGTTGTCAGATTTCCGCGTCTAATTGGGCGCACACACGGCCACGCACATAGACGCGTACACAAGTACAATATACGCACGCGACGATCTACATAATATAAACACACATCGCTGCTTTTTAACCTCGTCCTGCGAATTATCGCGCGCGGTCGAGGATCAAGTTCCACCAAATTAACCGTGTCTCTTACTTATGGGTGAGGTAAAAAAACAGTTTAGCTCCCCGCAATAATGATGAGGATCTTAGGATAATCATTCGATATACATTTAAAGTATAACACAGGAAAAAGATACCACTCACCAGTAGCGAATCCAGCGTTACCGAAAAATCACTCGGATCTTTGGGCGTTCCATGTATGCACTTTTCTCCTCTCCTCTTTTCTCTCCTCTCTCTCTCTCTTTTACTCACTAGCTCGTTCGCTCTCTCCGAGAATTAGCTGCCTACTGCTACTCTGCTGCTGCTGCTGCTTCTACTACTGCTAAATGGAGGTCAGAAGAATGCAACCCGCGAGAGAGAGTGAGAGATGAAAAGGGAGCTTTCTCGTCTCTGTGTGTATATTATGTGTCCGTGTATGTAGGTGTGTGCGCGCCAGAAGTGCACAGCAGCAGCAGCAGCAGAGTAGCAGCAGCAGAAGCAAAAGCACGCGCGAGGATGTCTATGTTATAGTATATATCCGTGTGTATGTGTCAAGCAGCAGCATCAGGCACAGCCGAGAGAGAGCAAATAGAGAGAGAGAGAGAGAGAGAGAGAGTAAGCTTAGAGGAGCATGGCAGCACGACGAAGCAACGGTACGACGACGGTGCAAAGGCAGTTGAGCAATCGATAAGCGTCGTCTCTCGCTCGCAGCTCTCTCGCTCGTTGCTCGAAACGAGCAACAACAAACCCCACGCTTGTTGTTAATCAATTATATGCAGCCGGTGCACAGCCGATCGACGATAATATACTCCTCGCGTAGCAGCAGCAGCAGCAGCAACTCGTGCTGGTAGAGGTAGCGGTGGTGGTGGTGCCACTGCTAGTAGTAGTAGTAGTAAAGCAGCTCATTTCTAAAACTGCACTGTACTCGAGAGCATGATGCACACATGCTGCAAACTGCATAAATATAGGAGCTTTTATTATAACGCACACTCTTGCTGCATGCGATTGTGCGTGTGTGTGTAGGGCAGATTGATGTATACAGGTACAATACTCCGACGGGGGTAGAGGTAGGTATAGGTAGAGTAGTAGAGCACACGCGAGCCTAACGTAGCCGCGTACTACTACTCACTGACATATCTCTCTGCTGCTTCGGGTTCGACTGCTCGGCGGCGACGGGGGCGGCCACCACCACACTACTATTATACTACTATATGTACCTACTACTACCAGCTTGCGGAAAAGCTCTCGCGAAGATTTCTTGCGAGGCGAGCTTGCGACTGTGCCGCGATTATTTTATACGATACGTTGGCCCTTGTATACATATAAGCGTATAGGTGCCGTACGAGAGAGTTTTTGGGTTGGGTCGCGCGCGTGCGTTATACTACTGGGGGATGCTGCATATGTAGGTACCCCGTGCCAGCGGCGGCAGCTCTCTGCCACAAACTATACGTATAGATATAGCATAAAGTATATAATGTCCTGCCCGTAGCAACAGCAGCAAGTGGCAGCTTTGTATTGTAAGCGTATGCGCGCGCGAGCTTGCGAGATACATCGCTGTTTTAATACAGTATAAAGTCAGACTGTTACAGCTGCTGCTGCTGCTGCAATAATAGTTTTTTTACTACAAATATCGAGTGAACTTTCGAGCTCGCCCTTGGATCGCAACGGGGGAAAAGTAAACAACCTGCGCGCTATACGACAGGCGCATTTTGCACGGGCGCGCGCGAAAATCAGGCGCCAATTCGGTTTTGCCGCGGGAGCTTGCGGCGCGCGGACAAGGAGCTTTCTTGGGACTTTTCGACGAAAACATTCGAGATAACATAACAGATTCATCCCTGGCACGGTGAAAAAGTTTGAAATGTTTTTTCGAAGTGTAGGTGGCCGTTAGTATCCGTATGATTACATTAGAGCAACTTTTATTCTAGTATTGCACATTGACTCAAGTTTTGCTAACATTAAATATGAAATTGCAAAAAAGATCCCTGAAATCTCATAAAAAGAATCTAAACCTAAAGAACTTTTTAGGCTCCATAAAACAGCAATTGATGAATTATTGAAGAATGAAAAACTCTTTGCTCAGAAAACCCTATGCTTTCAAAACTCTTATTAATTATAAAGTACGCAAAATCTCAACGTATTCAACAAAACACTCGACTGATCATTGAATTACCAAAGCAGAAAGGAAAAGGCAAGAGGAGGAGCTCGAATGATGGATTTTCCAAGAAGCCTTTGAAAAGCCAATCGATTGGAAAGTCGAAAAGCATATTCGAATGATTCAGTATTAGAAATGGAGCGAATCGCTTATACTGTTGAGCTTTTTTGTGTCAATAAATCGACACCGGTAACAAAAAACAATCCCTTCCAAAATGTTAGTGGAAACAATAACTTGTAACATTTTCATCGAAAACTATTATTTTTCTTTTTGTTTCCACAAAGACTATAATCACCACAAAAATATTGCCAACGAAAAGAATTATAATGTCACCAATAATCACAAATTTTTAATTTTCATTGGACAAATTTTCATTTGTGATCGTTTTAATTGACAAACAATAATAATTAACGTTTTTTCATGATATTCATATATCAGAAATTTTATTTCGTGTAATTTTCCTAATCGAGACATTTTTCCAAAACATTAACGAAATGAGCCAATTTTTTACCATTTTCATCGACCTTTTCTTCTTTGTGCAAATTAAAATATTCGCGCTCAACTGGTCTATGGCACCGCGTTGATCATACAAGTTGGCGAATTCAACCTGTGTAAAAGGTTGTTACTCTCGGGTATTCGCAGGTTCCTTACGCCACTATCATGGGCTACTAATTAGACCCTATGAAATCGGCCCTTTTCGACAATGTTCGATCTAAAACCCATCGTCATCGTGGGCGCAGCAGCTGATACCTCAATTGCCTAGTAGCGAATCTGCGAATGAATGACCCGAGTAACCTCGGCACGATTTCCTGTATGAAGCGTCACGAGCGTATGCGACGAGTCTTTTTTTAATCGTACCTTAGGAGCGTACACGAGCAACAGCAGCAGAAGCAGCATCGACGAAAGCGAAAATCCACCGACCGATATCTATTTGGGAGTGATGAGCCCGCTTAGCAAGTACTATTAAACTCGCTTCATACGCCTGCGTTATGCTGTGCTACGTGTATGCTTTAGACAAGGACGGGGAACGAACTCGCGCACGAAATGGATTTTATTGGCGAGCGAGCCGCGCGGCGGCGCTGCTGTTCGTCCCGTTTCGTTCTCCGTCCACTCTATAGTGATCGGCGCCGCCGCAGTGCTGCTGCTGAGCTGTTCTTCTGCTTCTCTTCATCGTCTCTCCGACTCTGTCCGAACTGACGAAGCAACGAAGTCAGACGACCCTCGAATTGTTGTTATAAAAGAAAAAACCGAAAAAAGAAAATGGCTTTACTTTCCGTGAGGCTGGCCGCTTCGTTGGCGAGACAATTGCCCGGCACTCAGGTAAGGGCTCCAACTCATCCACGTCGACTTCGCGCATTGAATAATCACGTCGTCGCCTTGCACATATCAGCTCTCGTGATCGCACACAGAGCCTGTATACTCCATATATTGCGGAAAAAGAACGCGGGGTGGGGATAAACCCGACATGTTTGCATGGTTATGCCGCAATTTTTCACTTTAATTTTTCACTTAAAAATAATGCTTATGTCCGTGCACGATGATCCTCATCCTCTGGGCCGACCTCTGGCCTCATGATCTCAATGAGAATGCGGCGATGCGCCTACCCATTGCGGGTTATGTAAATCGTGCAACTTCGGGGACGTACTAGTTATAACGAACAGACGTTATGTAATGACTTTTTGCTATAGATATCTATTAAGGGACACACAGTCTACTGACTTTTTCACTTGAATGAAAGGCAGAGTAATAATGGATTGTCATGTTTTATTGTAGGTGAGCTATCCAGCTGCTGCCTTAGTATCCAGGAAATACCATGTATCCTGCAGTCGCAGATCTGCTGAGATCTCTTCCATTCTGGAAGAACGCATTCTTGGTGCCAGCACAAAGGTGGGTCTCAGCAAGTATTATTATTCTCTAAATTATAAATTATTGCTATTAAGAATATCATGTTGTCTAATAGTACCATGGATTGTTTTTACAATATTGTCATATCTGATGATGAAGATAAACATGTCCACAAGTTTTTCATGCTTATCGTAAAGAATTTGATCCACTTACTATAAATTATGATTCCCAGTCATTTTATATATTCAGAGGCAATGCTTTTTAAAAAACTATTTTGAAAATAATGATTGCACAATCAAGCATTTAAAAAAATACAAGTGCTTAATGAAATATAATAATGAACATAATTACAATAATATTCATAACTAGATACAAATTATTCAATTTTTCAATTTTAAGTTATTTATAGTATTGAATTGTTTTCAAATCAATTTACAAATTTGAGTTACATAACATACAAAAATTGATTAAATTCCTAAGGATGTTCAATAATATATGAAACTATTTCATACTGTTCAAATAAGCTTGAAAAGAAAAGTTATTTTTTTCCAATTAATTAAATTTTGAATTAATTATATATATTTCTCTACTCAGGCTAACCTCGAAGAGACTGGCAGAGTACTCAGCATTGGTGATGGTATTGCCCGTGTCTATGGTCTTAAGAACATTCAGGCTGATGAGATGGTGGAATTCAGCTCTGGTCTGAAGGGTATGGCCTTGAATTTGGAGCCTGACAATGTAGGTATTGTCGTCTTTGGTAATGACAGACATATCAAGGAAGGAGACATTGTCAAACGTACCGGTGCTATCGTCGATGTCCCAGTCGGTGAAGAACTCTTGGGACGTGTTGTTGACGCTTTGGGTAACCCCATTGACGGCAAAGGCCCACTTGGCAGCAAACTTAGGTTCCGTATTGGTACTAAAGCCCCTGGTATCATGCCTAGGTAAATTTAACCTCTTTAATGCATAGTCATCTACATAAATTTCAATGAATTTGTTCTCATGGCTGATTTATTTTATTAGGGCTTCTGTACGAGAGCCTATGCAGACTGGTATCAAAGCCGTCGACTCCCTTGTACCAATTGGTCGTGGTCAGCGTGAGTTGATCATTGGTGACAGACAGACTGGTAAAACTGCTCTGGCTATCGACACCATCATTAACCAGAGGCGTTTCAATGAGGCCGGTGATGAGAAGAAGAAGCTCTACTGTATATACGTCGCCATCGGTCAGAAGAGATCAACAGTCGCCCAAATCGTCAAGCGTCTTACAGACAGCGGTGCCATTAACTACACCATCATTGTGTCGGCTACCGCCTCTGATGCCGCCCCTCTGCAGTACCTTGCCCCATACTCTGGTTGTGCCATGGGTGAATTCTTCAGGTAATGTCATGATGCTAATTATATTAACCCTTTGCCTTAGGTCCAATTAAAAGATTATTAATAGAATTTTTTACTCAAATTCGGTACTTATTTTACAGAGATAACGGCAAACACGCCCTCATCATATACGACGATTTGTCGAAACAGGCTGTAGCCTACCGTCAAATGTCCCTGTTGCTGCGAAGACCCCCAGGTCGTGAGGCCTACCCCGGTGATGTCTTCTACCTCCACTCCCGTCTCCTTGAGCGTGCCGCCAAGATGAACGAAAGCTTGGGTGGTGGTTCCCTTACTGCCCTTCCCGTCATTGAGACCCAGGCTGGTGATGTATCTGCGTACATCCCAACCAATGTCATCTCCATCACTGACGGACAAATCTTCTTGGAAACCGAGTTGTTCTACAAAGGTATCCGACCAGCCATCAACGTCGGTCTGTCTGTATCTCGTGTAGGTTCAGCTGCCCAGACCAAGGCCATGAAACAGGTCGCCGGTTCCATGAAATTGGAGTTGGCCCAGTACCGTGAGGTCGCCGCCTTCGCCCAGTTCGGTTCCGATTTGGACGCTGCCACCCAACAGCTCTTGAACCGTGGTGTTCGTCTTACTGAGCTCTTGAAACAGGGACAGTATGGTACGTACACGTAGATACTTTGAATTGAATATTTTTCTTTCTATGACTGTTCAACAATGACTTATGAATCATTTCCCTTTCCAACAGTACCCATGGCCATTGAAGAACAAGTAGCCGTCATCTACTGTGGTGTCCGTGGATACCTCGACAAAATGGACCCCACTAAAATCACCAACTTCGAGAAGGAGTTCACAGCCCACATCAAGTAAGTTGACAAGCATTACAGTTAAAACTTGATCGAATTGTGTCGGCTTAATATTAACGTTTTATCTTGTTTTACAGATCCACCCAGAAGGACTTGTTGGCCACCATTGCCAAGGAAAACATCATCAGCGAATCCTCCGACGCTAAATTGAAACAGGTTGTCACAGACTTCTTGGCCTCTTTCAACGCGTAAACATCGAGATCCTAAGATTCCGACAAAAGCTCGATTAATTAGTTGTAACAGTTGCTGCGCAGGCGCTGACACCTGTGCACAAGTTGTATATTTGGAATTTAATTAGCAAGTATACAGCCCGTGCTCAAGTTGTAATAAACCATTAAATGTATTCGTCACAATTGATGTAATCACCTATTGTCATTGGCATTATACTTTATATTAAATCAAAATTAAAAATTATTTAATTGGCTCTTGTGTAAAACAACTTAGAGGAATACGCATTGAAAGTAGACGATCAATTTATTTGATTTTTTTAATAAAAAAAACATCATTATTAATTACAGTTATATAATATATTAAGTATATACATATCAACAGTTTTACATTACAATTCCTGGTATTTTTATTTCGTTCATTTTCTTTTTATCGAAGTCCAAACGATCGTGAACCGCAGTAATTATGCCCGTTGCAATAGTACTCTTCTGCTCTCTTATCGTGAAAGTTTGACCTTTTAACAATGGCATGCACTCCAGTAAAGTAAGCCTAACAGTGGCTTGTTCTCCGGGCATTAACATTTCAGTTTCGCCCTCTAAGACCAAGTCAACTCTGGTGTAAATATTCCACGTCGAACAGTAGAGCATTGAACAATACCCATTTTTCTGAAAACAAATTATAACGGGAATGATTTCTTATTTATTCATTTTAGATTCACATATGACAATCAAACTATTATTAAAAAATTACCGGCAAGGGTCTGTGTCTACCGCCTTCGGAAGTATTTAGCAAGTACATTTGTGCCTCATAATGATTGCTAAATTTTTGACTGTTTCGAGGAGTAACCCACATTCCTCGGCGTACTGCGCTGATCTTCACGCCCCTCAAGAGAGCTCCCACATTTTCACCTGCTGGAGCTTCTGGCACACTTTTTTGAAATATCTGAGATAGAACAATTAGATAAATTATTCATATTTTTTACAACAAGCCTAAATCAATTGAAATCCTGCAATACCTGAACATCTGTAACATTGGTTTTTATACGCTCTCCAAAACCTATAAGTTCAGCTTCTGTACCTTTCTTGATGATGCCTTGTTTGACAGTTCCAACAACAACTGTACCTCTTCCAGGTACATTGAAAAAGTTATCAATAGGCAAAATAAAAGGTGATTTAAAATCTCGTTGAGGAGGAGTAAAGTGTTTATCCATGGCATCGAGTAATTCTTGTACGCTGGGTGTTCCGAATTTCGATGTATCCCCTTTCAGAGCAAGCAAAGCTGACCCTCTGACTACTGGGGTATTTTCACAATCAAAACCAAAGTGATCTAAAAGTTCTCTGACTTCCAATTCAACAAGATCGAGCATCTCCTCATCAGCCAGATCAGCCTGTACAATTGAAGAAATTAGTAAACATACAGCTATGATATAAAAGTTTTTACAATATCTTAAATACCTACTTTGTTAATAAAAACTATAATCTGTTTAACACCGACTTGCTTGGCAAGTAACAAATGTTCTGTAGTTTGTGGCATGGGTCCATCGGTGGCAGCAACAATCAGAATGGCGCCATCCATTTGTGAAGCACCGCTGATCATATTTTTGATAAAATCCAAATGTCCTGGACAGTCTGTGTGGGCATAGCGACGTTTGTCCGTCTTGTAGCCTACGTGGGCTATGTTGATGGTGATTCCGCGAGCTTTCTCTTCGGGAGCTTTGTCGATCTCGTTGTACGACACATATTTACAACTTTTGTTCTTCTCGGCCAGATACTTGGTGACGGCAGCCGTCAAGGTGGTTTTGCCATGATCAACATGGCCAATCGTGCCGACATTGCAGACCGTGTCGATGGCTTGGCAATAGAAGCGCTTTCTGCTCCAGCTCAGCTTCGACTGGCAACTCAACAGCCGAGGTGCCGAAGATCTTTGAACGAGCGAGTCGAAATTGTGACATTTTAAGTGACGAAAAGTTTGCGCCAACAATCGCTGCACGACCATTTTTCATCGTCTGATTATCGAATTTCTGAAATGGAGAAAACGTCATGTTTTACAACAAAAAATGGAATTTTTGTTTTTGATCCACTTAGGTTACATTCAACGATTTTAGCTTACGATAAACGAAGATAATCCGCACCGATCGATTCAATTCGTAGCTTTTTCGCAGCGCAGTTTATTAAAACATTTCAATAAAGAGCGATCTTACGAATTTTCACTAGCAAATTCACGAAAATCAGAGTGCACTTGCAGACTCGGTCTAGCAGACACCTTTTCAAACACTAGTACGATCGGCCGCATGTGCGCGCAAAATTAGAAAACGCGTGTGTACAGCAAAGAGACAGCGACGAGTGTCAAAGAGAAGATTCCAAAACGGAGCAAACGGTGGTCACTCCTTTCCAGATCATCGAAATCCAGGCAGAAAATTTAAAATAATTTTCGAATCGTGCAATCATCGAGTCATCAATGGAGACTTTTGAATTTTTCAAGTTTTACTGCCGACTCCAAATCAACTACATCACATAATGCTCGGTCGCGTTTACGGTCTCGCGAATCGTTCTCCCCGCGTCACGATTCAACGCGGCGAGTTATCGGCCTCGCTCTCGACGAGGAACCGCAGCCGGAGAGACCATACGACTTACATACGTGTTACGATGCTCTAACGCCGAAATAGATAAGAGGAGACGTGTGTCGCGCGCGTACATCCGAAATTGGTCATGTTTCGGCGGATGGTGCGGCAGCGGTCACGGAACTCTGGCGCCGCCGCCCCCGATAATACGTACATATAAAGCAAAATAATACGGTGTATAACGGTCCGTACATAAGCCAGTTATGCGCGAACTCATTAACGTCACGGCTCCTCGAGTTTTAGGTTTAGGTGAGTATGGAACGTATCGCGTTCCTACAAAAAAAGCAACATCATCCGTTGGGTACACATACTTCGGAGCGGGCGACAATTATTAGACGCGGAGTAGGTAGGATATACATTTAAAGGGAGCGATACAGCATAATATCGGCGCTTTTCAAGTACTGAACTATACGCAGGAGTAATAATACAATAATAAGTATACGGAAAGCGCGTGTTAGGCGTAGGAGAGAGCAAATACCCATGTGTGCACGTTATAGACACTTTCGTTGTGCGTGCGCTCTCTTTCTCTCTCACATATAGACACACTTGACTGGTTATACTGCTCGCAACGTACTACCATCGGCGTGTACCCGCACGAGAGCGTATACGGTACTATTCTATATATCTCCTATATATACTGTACATCTGCAATGTGCACGCATAGATGCTTCGAAACGAGCTAAGTAAAGCGAGCTGCTGCCGCCTCGGCGTTTCTCGCTAGTCCGTATACAAGACTGCAGTCTGCGGAGCTGCGGCTGCTGTTGTTGTCTGGTTTATAATATCAAAGTGTGTACCTATATACACACTCGCAATCAGATACACACAGACACGTTGATATTTACGTCGGTGTGCGGTTGCTCCGTAATTCTCCCGCTGATCCTCTCTCTCTCTCTCTGTTTCTCTCTTTCGCTCTATCCCTCTTTCTCTTGCGATACATTATACCGTATGTACGTTTCGGTACGTGTGTGTCAGTAAGAGAGCGAGAGAGAGACAGAGTTATAGATAGCACATTATAATTCCTCGCGAGCATTGTGTATTGTATATACCGACGATCATCGCGCAGCGCGCAGAGGAGCTCGCCTCGCTCGCGACAGCCCGAGTCTCGCCAGTTACTCACTGTGTGTCATCCCGTTTTTGTATATAAACGCACCTATATATATATAATAATAATATAATATACAATACACAACAGAGATCGCAGCTCGGTACGGATATTATACTATACATATATAGTGCGTGCGCGTGTAAGTGTATGTGTGTGTGTGCAGTGCAGCCCAACTGTGACTCCGTATAGAGACTCTCTCTCTTTCTCTCTCTCTCTCTGTCCAATGTGGTGTCTGTGAACTCCGATATTATAGTGGTGCATCGTCCGTACGTACCAGTCGGTACTATATTCTACAACTACTGCTGCTGCTACTGCTAGTATACTCGCTGGGCTGTGCGTTGCATAGAGTGGCCTGCGCGAGCTGCAGTATACCAGCATAGTGCATCGGTGTTCATCCGTTTGTTGTTGTTGTTATTGTTGTTGTTGATTTTTTTATTTTTTTTTTCGTTCAAGTGGCATTTACCTACGACTCAGACATTTGAGTGTATATACTCGTCGGTGTGTGCGTGCGTGTGTGTGTGTTGTAAAAAAAAACTGCTGCTGTGTGCCTACATATAGCAAGTAAAATATATTTTATCGTGCGGCGGTGCAACGACGTCGAGACTGCTCCGCGTATACATGTCTCAACTCTAACGTCAAGTTAGATACATCATAATAATAATAAGTGTATATAATTCCAAGACTGGCCTGTCACTGAACAAATCGCGGACGACGACGACGACAACGAAAAAAAAAGGTTAGCACTGTGTTCCTCCTACACTCTCTCTACTACTCTCGCAATATATACACATATAAAGAGAGCCCAGGGCGAGGCTTCTCGTTGATATTATATCGGTGTGCGTGCATTATAAGCGCGTGTGTGCATGTTTTCTGCTCCTTTTTTTGTATATTCAGCATTTATGCACGGCACACGCTTGTAATAAGATGTACCCCATTCCGCGAGTATAATCTCTCGGCTCGTTGTGTCTTCGTCTCGCCAGTCACGCTCACGAGTCTGTTTACGTTGCTTTTTCATCGTATGTTCTCGAGCTGTTGTTACTACTGCTGCTGCTGCTGCTGTTGCTGTTGCTGTTGCTCGAATAAATTAATGCTCTGCTTTGCGGGCTGCTGCTGCTATACACAAGCAAATGTAATAAGTACGATGTGTTTCGGTCCAACGACGCCTGCACTGATTTTGGAGCAATAACGAGCAGCAGCCCGCACATTATTTTATTATTGCCTTATTGCTCTCGGATGCGCTTATCTACTTATTAATGCACATTTGCGGCATACTTATCCACTGTATATACGCTTTCGAGACACACACCACTTGTTTATTTGCAGGGAATAAAAAAAGTAAAGAAAATATTTACAGTCTATTAGTGATGGTTGAATAATAAAATGTCTCCTATGCATATAGCAGTTCTGTCTTGTTCATGACAAGTGTCTGACATGTGAGAATTGCATTGTCTCAAACCTGTGAATTATCAGTAACTTTTATTTTGCAATACATATAGTCAATAAGTGTCAAGTGAGTAAGAATTATAAATGAGCTCAACAACTATGTCAAAGAATTATTAACTGTTATCTTCAGAATCATTAGGAATGATTGTTTTAACTTTTAAACAAAGTTCTTTTTGTCTGCAATCTAATTCATTATTCATTCTCTCAGTATGCATTAAAAATCATAAAAATTGAAAAAATACTGGTTGATTATATTGCTTGAGTTAAATACTTTTTACAAGAAAATCATCATAATTTATACAATAAATTAACAACTAGAGCGTTTCTGAAGTGAATAATCATAATGATAATCTGTTCTTTATTACATCCTGGAACCTTGTTCCTTGATTGATCTTAGCATGATAGAGTTTGCATTATAGATTCATTATCTAAATTTCATATAATGATAAATCCAAAGTAAAATATCTTTGATTATTGCACATGGATTCTTAAATTCCTAGGAATGCAGGTTATGTTTTCAATGCACATCTTTTCTTGTTCTACTACTACTCGTTCTTTACATACTTACTAAAACATCACCTACTTTGGTATCATTACAATGATAAAACCATAAAATTACCAGAATCTGTGTATTTAACTTTAAAGCTGTACTTATCGAATAAAAGATTTAGCTGATTAGGCTGATTATTTCAATTTACTTGACTAACGTTGAAGAAAAGTAGGAGCAAGACAAAGAGTCAACTCCAAAAATATTTCTAGAATGTAATATGCCTTTTAAGGAGATATAGAAGCCAGCCAAAATATCAAAATTTCAATCCAGTTTTCTGAAACTTCTAAGTACTGAATATTTTGCCAAAAGGCTCTATGGCAACTTTAAGAACATCAAAATGAAGGTCACCATAGAGCCTTTTGGCAAAATATTCAGTAGAAATTTCAAAAAGCTAGATTGAAATTTTAATATTTTGGCTAGCTTTTATGTCCCCTTAAAGTCATTGTTAACAACAGTTGTAATATCTCTCAGCATCTTATCTCTCTGTACAAAGAAAAAACAAGATACTGTCGATTGTTTACCAAAGTATATGCACTTTTTGTTCTCGATTTGACGTTAAGTAAAAAGCACAAGGATCGCGATTGACGCGTGTTTTGAAGGAGAAAAAAAAACTCGAACGAGCATTGAATTTCCACCTCTATGAGCGAGCCGGACTTTTTTTACGACAAATATTATCGTTGGAAAAAAAATTTCTACTCAAAAACCATTTTATATTATGCTTTTTTCATGAAAAGTATTCTTTCTTTCTCTAACTCCAGCCGATTTATTAGTTCATTTCGAGGCACGATTCATCGGGATACATAGAGCAGGAAATTATATTAAACAGAGAGAAAAAATGGCAGGTTAAAAGTAGCGTTTCCTGCTCGGATAATGAAAATTGTATAGTTCTTTATAACGCCTGCTATTGTGTGTACATGTGTGTGTGCGCGCGCGCAAATGCCTTGTAATGCTTTTTTTATTGTCTCGAGCCAAAATTCGATTAAGCTCTTCGGGTCGAAAGTTAAATAACTCTGCAACCCGGATCGTACTACACCCTGCGACTTATTGCTTATTTCTGCACTAGTTAAATTTGAATGAAAAATAATTCCGTGCATGTACTTTCCATTGAGTGAGCTCGACTCGTGCTTCGGAGCTCTGCTGCCGTTGCTGCTCTGCACACTTTCAAATCGTCGTGATTTAATGATATAGATAAATAGCAAACCTGATAGGGCACTTTCGCACGTTATGTAACGTTGTGTAATGCCGAAAATTTCATTGTCTCGCAGGATGATCCCTTCGAATGCATTCGTACATAGCGGGGCTTACACCTAATGCATGCAACTCGGAATTTTGGCCGCGCTCCGACATCGCGGTGCACACCTGTTAAATACTTGTAATTGATATTGTGCAACAATGACAAATTAGCTCTCCATGCTAAAGAGACGATGAAACAAAACGAAGAAGAAAGAAAAAACAAACCAAAGGAAAAATACATTCGTCAACGTGCGACATTAACACACTCGTATACACGCATGGCACGTGATGCGTGTATACGTCGTACAACACATTGGACTTGGTGTCATTTTTTTTATCAATCAATAAGCTCACGGTCGGTTTGGTATTCTAATGACATTAGCATCGCGCCGCGACGCCGCTGCCGCGCCAGAGGAATCCTTACTTTAATATTTTTCTTTCTTTTTTTTTTTGTTTCGTTCCTTCTTTCTCGCCGCGCGCAGCTCGCGTGCTCGCGGATTGTTAAAATCATACGCGTGTATAAGTATCGGCTGATAAACGTTCGCAGAACTTTTTTTATTTAAGCGAGATCGGCGCTCTCTCTATCTCTCTCCAGCACATTTTTGTAATAAGCCTCGCGATTGTATGTGCATACGAAATCCAACACTCTTTCCGTGCGAGCGTCTATACTTAACTTTTTAAAACAATCTCTTCGAGCGATAGAAAGATGTGTACGGTTGAAATAAAAAAAAGAAGAAAGTTTTGCCTACAAATCGTATACACACATGACGAACGCGTGTCGAGTCGCAAACATTTTAACCTCGGCTAAGTAATAATTAAAGTCGACGAAACGTCAAACGCGCGGTGACTTATTATGCTTATGCCACGGCAGAGGCGCGCGATGTTAGACCGAGCGCGCGTTTAACAGAAAAGCAGCAGCAGCAGCTCTCGTCGTATATATCCGTGCGAGCGGTTTTTTGTTTACACATCGTGCACATGTGTGTATTAATGCTACATACACACGTATAGCGAGAGTGCGTCATATCGCTATTTAAAACTATCTTACATTATGGAGCGACGTTCTTTTTAGAAGTGCCAGTCGAGAGAGAGAGAGAATTCAAATTCTGTGTATCGATTCGGCTCTCGTTCCCTATTCGTGTATATTCATTTTGGAGTCGCGCATTTTGGTCTATAATCTCTTCGCATCCTCTCTCCGTTCTCACCTGGTATACATACCCACTCCTCGAACCTTTTAACGCTCGAAACGCCACCAAAGTATACACACGTGGGTCAGTTCTATTTTTGCCTCGTTCGCGGAGAAAACGGTCTCCTTTGTTTCGGGGCTTTTATCTCTCTCGGAAATTCAGTCGTAACGTCATTTTCCATATTTATTTTTTTTTTCTGCCTTACACACACCCGCGTTCGTCACGACTTTGGGCAGCTATATACGCGATATGGAACGCGAACTCTCTCTCGGACGGCGGCGAGATAGCAATGACCTAAAAATATTTGACTTTGAAAAGTTACACACGCACAAGCAGCAGCAACAGCAGCAGCAGAAACAGAGCCTCATAAATAAAATGCACGCATATTCGAATATAATGGCCTGGAAAGTGTGTACATGGAAAATGTATAATATACGCTCGGCGTGTCTGTGCAATGACCCTGGACTACGAAGAGCGAACACAATCTTGCGTATACGGTCGCGGATGCAGCGCGGCGCATCTGACTCAGTTTACAATGCCCGCGCGCGAGACGATCGACGCGCGAGCTGCTTATAGGCTTATACTACCGATCGATCGGTATACGCGATACATATAATACAGGTTCTTGAGCTCTCGGATCGAGAGGACGTCGCCTGTTTCCCATTTATTTTTTTTATTTTTTCAAAAGATCGAATCAGCCGGGCGCGGTTGAATTTTATTCATCGACGTATCGCGACTATGACTAAGCTGTATTGTAACCGCTTTATTATTGTTGAAACTCGAACGCGAGCACCTGTATACGGGCTAATGCGAAAAGTGCCTTTGTAGGTGCAATAATAATATGTATCTGTTGCGCATCGAACGTTTACACGCACACACACACACACACACATATAGGAGCGCTCGCGAGATAAGATAGAAATCGAAATATATAGAGCTTATATGGCCAATTTTTTTGTCGAGAAAATATACGACTGTACGTACACGTAGTTTTTATCTATTATCGATCGCCAATATTATAAATGTCTGTGCGCGGTTCCACGATATATCTCTTTCGATCTTTCGCTTCATCTCGCGCGCCTTCTTGTTTTTTCGCGACGATCGTCGTCGCTCTCGAGAATCGTATAAAAAAAGATGTATATTTTATTCTCGTTGTATAGGCGATATCGAAGACGCTGAGAATTTTAATTATAAATAATAACGTACGCAACGGGAGCTGCAGGGTCGAATTTTTTCACCGGCCAATATCACGACATATCTTTCGTTCCATCGTCGCGACGGGAGGGTTGGAAACTATATTATCGCAAGAGATACCCACACAAACACGAGTTTTTTTTTTTTTTAACAAAGCGCAAACGTAAGTGATCTTTTCTCGTTTGGCAAATTTTACTTATCTCTTTCTCGGTATGTGTACGCGAGGCTTGATTAATTAACGACGTTTAAAAGGTGCGATAAAGAAACGCAAATTCCTATATTGTATACAAGTTATGCGTCAGTTGTGTATCGCGGCCTATGTAGCAGCAGCGGCTGCAACAATAACGCGAGGTTGATACAATGTTTTTTGCTCGGGCAATCGCTTCTAGCGAGCTTTCAACGCACGCGTAATGCTCACCTACATATTATTGACATAATCTACAATGCCTATATATTGGAAAATGCACGAAAGTGAAAGTTCCGATTTCCGGATTGTGTAGCGCCTTCTCTCCCCCTTTTCGCATGTATCTATGTAATATCGCTGAACTCTCGTTCCGGATGCCTATGTGCGTATGTCTGTGTATAATATAGGCGCGCGTTTGTAATACGTGTGCCGAGCTTATCTCTCTCTCTCTCTCTCTCTCTCTCTCTCTCTCTCTCTCTCTCTCTCTGCGAAGCTCTTTTGCGGACGCAAACACAGCGCGATTCGCGATCTGTCAGTCTTAGCACCCGCTGCTGGCTGTGCGTTGGTATACCCGAACGCGAATTCGTTTCCGCGTTTTCAGCGCCGCGGCGCGAGTTCACCGTGTGTGTTTGTGTATGTGTGTGTATCGTTCGTTTGAGAAAAGGAACAATAATTCCTCAACAGATTTTACGCACTAATCGCAATCGGTTATTTTTTCGAGTTCGTGCCGTTTATTACAATGAGAGCTTGCGTTCTCGCGAGTTTATCGCGCGCGAGAAGCTCGTGCTGATCACGTTGATATCGTGCGTCTGGAAAACGTTTTGCGCGTGTGTGTGTGTATGTGCGCGCGCGTTTGTTTATTTAAATAATCTTATTGGGCTCCAAGGTAAATGAAAAAAAAATAAAATAAAATGAAAAAATTGTATCACATAAGCCGCCTGTATTTACGTCAGAACATTTCAATCACGCGGATTCATAATATACGCACCAGAGAGTTTTTTAGCAAAACATCTGAGCAAAGACTGCTATATATAAAGCTGCTTTATTGCTTCATTTCACGTATTGAACAAAAAAATGTCTGTATCGGCCTCGGCAATGTGTGGAACGAAAATCAACAAGTGTGCGCGCGCGCGTTGCTGCTCCGCTGCTCTATGCTTGAATGACGAATCGTATACTACTTTTTTTTGAAAGGTTTCGAATTGTTTTAGCTTGTAAGTTTGGGATCGAAACGACAATCTTACAATGGATTTGGTAATTTTGCATTGTCTTCGAGTAGGCTCGAGGCTGTCGATTCTCTCCTTGAGACGGTTGATAAAAGTTTAACCAGTCGAACGAAATTCAATACCGCAATCGCAGCAAGATGAGCGCGTTACAAAAACAAACATTCTGTGTCTCTCGTGATTATTACTTCTACTCTTTCGTTCTTTACTCATTGTTTTTCTCAAATATACTCGATCAATGTGTTCGCGCAACGAGTGAACAATTTATTGAAACGCGATCTCAAATTAGGGGCTGCGGCGCTGCTCATCGCTAACTCGAGTACGCATAATATTTGTGAAACTCATTTTTTTTTTACATCGAGAAAGCTCGGGTCGAAAAGATGACTCGCTCGCCGCTCGAATTGTAATATACAAATAATAGTGAGTGCTTTTACGCGCCTCAGTTCCGCGAATGTCAATTTTTGCACTGCAAATCATGTGTATATCCTATACACACAGACACGCTTACAACAAAAGTAACAACAACACAGAAACCTTTCAAAAGCCAGAGATGAAAAAATAAAAATCCGCAAAACCGATAAAAGTGAAATCGGAGGAAAAAAAAGTATACAAACTTTACAGCTCCGAGAAAGCTCCTTGAGATTTGTTTTGCCGGTACGCACATCTCGCGAATGCTGTTATTTAATGGTTGGGCCATAGGCTCATTCTCTATCGTACCTATAGCTGCACACAGCACAAACGAGTTTATTTTCACTTTGGCGCACGATGCATTAAGCGCTCACCGTGCAGGTTAACGATCGCACCTGTATACATGTACATTGTACAAGAATACAGCGATCGGTCGATTTGTCTAAAAATTTTGTCGAATGTGCGCGTGTCGCAGAGCTTATAGATATCGTCGCGGGAGCGCGGAGAGGCAAATTGTTGTCTGCACTTGGAGCCGTGGGCTCCATCATGTTTCTCGAATATTATCACAGCGCGTAAGTCAACGCACACAGCTACACCCCAGCTCCTTTCGCGCGACGATTGAAGAATTAGGGGTTAATCGATTGCATTACAGTTTGTCTCTTACTCTCTCTCGTGGTGCGTTTTATAATAAACACGAGATCGTAATAGAAAAATGTCTCGCTGTCGTCGTTGTGTGTGGCGCGCACCGCCGATCGAGGAGGAAAAATCTTTCGAGAACTCGTGATGTAATGCCGCTCGTGTTGGTATTATTCGTACGTGTATGTACGTCGCGGTGATAGCGCGTCGATGACTAATCGCATGCACATTTATAATATATATAATGCACACATTGCACTCGATGAATGAATTATGATCGTCGAAATATTATTATTCATCGGAAGGCAGGACTCGCTCGTTTTTCTATTCAACCGTATACGTATTATGTATGGGATAAAAATCGAAAAAATTTTGATTATTAATCAGAGCTCTTTCATTTTGTTGTTACAGATGCGTCGACAAGGACAGGACGTGATGCAGGTTAACCTGGCGGGCATCAGGCGAGACATCGTCAATCTTGCCCACAATTACAGCAATGCGCAGGTACGAATCAAAGTTCGCACGCAAAAGCTCAACTTATTGGATTGAATTTATGAGATTTTCATTGTTCACCTCATTTTTATGTATATAGAAAGCCGTGCGCAAAGCGACGAGCAACGATCCCTGGGGCCCGAGCAGCACCTTGATGGCGGAAATCGCCGATCTCACCTACAACGTCGTCGCCTTCACGGAGATCATGCAGATGCTGTGGAAGCGGCTGAACGATCACGGCAAGAACTGGCGCCACGTCTACAAGGCCCTCGTGCTGCTCGAGTACCTGATCAAGACCGGCACCGAGAAGGTCGCCCAGCAATGCAAAGAAAACATTTTCGCCATACAGACCCTCAAAGGTATAGAAATCAGTCGTCTCTCTTTTTAGAAAAAAAAATGATCGTACCGTCTCTATATCTCGCTCTTTTTCTTTCCGATAGATTTTCAATACATGGAAGGTCACAAGGACCAGGGCATCAACGTGCGCGAAAAAGCTAAGCAACTAGTGGCCTTATTGCGGGACGACGAGCGATTGAGAAACGAGCGGGCCCGCGCCCTCAAAGCCAAAGAGCGCTTCGCTCAGTCGATGAGCGGCTTCGGCAGCGACGGCGTCGACACCGTCTCACCCAGCAGCGACGTAAGTTCATTCTCTAAACTTAAATAGTTATCAATTTTTTCTCAAGCTCAATTTTCCATTTTTTTACCTCGACAGTTTCAGGAATGGGAGCCTTGCAATCTGTCGGAATCCTCGTCGAGACGTAAGTATATTTAGCCCAATGTTAATCTACACTTTTATAGTACAAATTGCATCACGTAGACACCATTGTACTAACATTACTAACCCCAAGTATAAAATATGCATCGAGACACTGTATACTATATTTGCATACTATATTTGCATCATAGTCACACGTTCGCACGCACATTATTGTACACAAACATTCATTGTACACATATCACACTGTAGAGTAAACATACTCACAAAAGTAAAGGTATATTGAAAAAACAGTAATGCTAAATTTACCTTTCTTGGCTCGGCTTCTGGGGATCTGTCTCTGTCTCTCTCGCTTGTCGCTGTCGTTGCGTAGATGAAAAGTCGCGAAGAAGCTCATCCTCGGGTGTCATTGTTTCCGCAGCCGAGTTAGAGGCAGCTCGTCCGCAAACGGTCGGCGAAGAGGAGTTACAGCTACAGCTCGCGCTGGCAATGTCAAGGGAAGAGGCCGAGCAGGAAGAGCAGCGGAGGCGCAGCGACGATGTCAGGCTGCAGCTGGCCCTTAGCCAGAGCCAGCAAGATTTCAAGTGAGTATGCCATATCATGTAGGCTTATGTCGCGAATGAAATTACCAAGAGTCAATTGTGTAAAAATGCAATTGCCTTCAACTTGAGAGCTATGTACGTTTTTGATCCACCAGAGCATTATCAAACGTGATTTACGCGTTAAATTTTCAAGTAATCGATAATATCGTGATACTAATTCACTCGATTTCTCGTTAACTCGACAGTGCTTTGATGAAAATTTTTCTCTGAAAGTTTTGCGACTATTACACACGTGATCAATCGGATTATTAATACTCACGCTGTTGCTCGAGAAACGTCATTTCGATTATGTATGCGCACGACAAGTGTATATTTAGATTTCACAAACGATTGTTTTTCTTTTTTGCGCAGGGTGCCTCAAGATAAGCAGCAGAGTCACTTGCTCGACTTGATCGACGTAGATTTGGGAGAAGCAGCGGCCGCGACGGGGAACGCTTCCTCTTCCTCGTCGAGCACCGATCCATGGGGAATGCCGCTTAGCGTTGCTGCTGGCGGCGGTGCTGCTGCTGGTGCTGCTGCTGCCGCGGCAGTGCCGAGACCACAGGTAACGAGAGACAAAATTAATCATAATCTGATTATCGATTATTGTTTAATATTTTACCGAGTATATTCGACATTTATAATTGACCAATTGTTTTCTGGGTGAGAACAGTCGTTGGACTTTCTGTTTAGTGACTTTTCGTTATTTTCGAAGGTACGTGAGTAAAAGAGGTGTTGAATCGTGTGCGCATTGATGATGTTTTCGATTTCATAGTTTTTACGTATAACAGCTAGATTAAATATAAGACGAGTGCCGTAGAATTTCACTTGAGCCATAAATATTTAGGTTGGCCATCATTTTATTTCATACACTAAATCAAGACATCGCATACATTCCTTTGGTTTTGTCTTCTATTGAGTGATGAGTGAATCACAAACTCTAACTTATAATAATGTCAAAAGGTATTAATGCAATTAATATCATACGTTTGAAAGTAATAATTATAATCATAATTAATATCAAGTAATGAATTCATCGCATTTTTACTCATGAGAATATCTTATCTCAAATAAAATGTATCTTTCTTTAGCAGAGTCAAAATGATCCATGGTCAGTTCCATCAGCTCCACCTTCAGCCAGCAGTGCTGGTGCAGGTGCTGCTGCTGCTGCTGCAGTATCAACTTCTGTTGATCCTTGGGCACCAGTTTTACCTCAAAGGCCGAGTAAGTTAAATGATATTTACCTTTATATTAATATAGATCATTGGTTCTAATAGTATTTTTAACAAATCGCTTGATTGATTTTTATCATCATTAGAATTGAAATAATTGTATTTTTTGCATGTTGTATGGTTGATGCTTCTCTTTGTTTTGGCTAACAGCATCGCCAGGTAATAGTCATCAAATAAGGTTTAATTTGCTTTGTACTTTTTTCTTTGTTACCAATTATCTAATCTATATCGATAAACATAATCTTTAGGCACTTGATTTTTTGAGTGGCTTGAAAATTAATAATAAGCTCATATTTTTTGAAATTTTTGTTTAGTATGACTGTTTAGTTTAAATAATCTTTTATTAATTTTCATTTATTAGTTTTATCGGCAAGGTATCATTCGTACACATGAAACTTGTACACGGGCATTTCTGTACGCAAGTAAAATGTGTCCAATATTTGTACACATAATCGAAATTTTTTTTTTAATTCAAATTACGATTACGATTATTTTTTTTAATTTTTTGATTTTAAAAAAAATTTCGATTATGTGTACAAATATTGGACACATTTTACTTGTGTACAGAAATGCCCGTGTACAAGTTTCATGTGTACGAATGATACCTTACCGTTTTATCATTACCAATATAACTACCAACACAAATTAATAAGTACAGTGCAAAATAATAAACTCAAATGTAAAGCACTCAAATGAGCGTATTACTAACAATTCAATTTTTTAGCTGCTACCGTTGATCCATGGAAAGTACCAGCTGCTTCACCTCTTACTGTTGCTGGAGCAGCAGCCCCTCGAGTTGATCCTTGGGCTCCTGTATCTGCAACTAACTCTGAAAATAAGGTAAAGAGATTATTTTTTTAATTTTATGTACATGAATAGTATATTACGTGCCTACGGAGCGAAAAACTGGAAAGCCTCAGAGCACGTGTAATTATCGTCAGAGGCGAAGCCAAGGTCGATAAACGTGTGCTCTGAGGCTTTCTTTTTCGCTTCATAAGTGCATATACTATTTTTCATGAATCCCCATCAGAAATTAACTTTTTCGTTTTGACTGCCGGGACGAAAAAAGTTAGTTTCGTCCGGGGTAGCATGAAAAGATGTATCTAACTATTTGACAATTTATCAGTCTCCAACACCAATTGGATTTATTTTGCCCACTACAACATCTTCTGTAACTACTGCAAGCTTCAATTCAAACAACAGTAATGGATTCAATGGTTTAGGGTCTGTTTTTAGCAATTCAACAAATCAAAAGAGTAGTCCATTGGATGATCTTGATGAATTTGATATTATAAGTAATAGAAATAAAGTTGGTACGAGTCCACTACCTTTGAATAATGGTAAGTGCTATATAATAATAAGCAAGTGTTTTTTTATTGATTGAATATGAAGATCTCACTTTGTGTTTTATTTTCCCAGGTAATACAAATACAACGTCACCAGATCCATTTGATTTGAGAGATCTTACTGAAACTATACCAGCCAGCACTGGTGCTGTAAAAAAGACTCCACAATCGTTTTTGGGTGAAAATTCGGCTCTGGTAAATTTGGACAATCTTGTGAGCGCGACTACGCTAAAGAATCCAACTCCCGCACCAGGTGAATATATATTTTTTTAATATGGTTTATAATATTAATATAATAATACAGGTAATTCTAACATCACAATGTTTGAGCATCAATTAACGATGTATGAATAATCTTTTTAAATCGAAAAACCTTCGTTTTATGTCCGCGAGCAGCATTTCATTGGAAGTAATTTTTGTGAGTATAAAAAAAAAAAGAGAAATTACAAAAAATGTGCATGGGAGCATGAATTTTTATTTCAAATTGAAATATTTTATTATTTCTTCTCTGCTTAAATAATTAATTTTACGCATTTCGCAACTTTTATAAAAATATTTCTTTCGTAGGTGTTTTTAAATGTGTTTATTTACAATGTTTTTTGATTTAAATTCTATGATTTTTGCGTCAACTTATTTTTATTTGACACTATATTCAATAGTAGGCTGCACAGTTTTGGCACATTTTGTACGATTATCGTTTTTACAGAAAAATTAGAACATTTTCAAATATAAGCATTAAACAGAATAGTAACATAGTTTTGTTACATTTTCGAGCGTGAAAGAAACCATTATATACTTTGTTTGACTATTTTGAAAAAAACGAAATTGCATAATTAATTTATCTAGAGTTACTACTTTATTCGTTGAAATATTTCCTCCCCATTGAGATGAACACTGAAACTATACTTGTTTAAAGCATTTAAAGTGTTTCCGTTTTTTTCCTTCGAAAAAAACATGAAAATTAATCTTTGAAAAAAATTGTTAACAGCACCAGCTTTCTCGGCCAATCCATTTGCTCCTGTGGCATCTCCGCCGCGTCCGTCGATCAACCAGATACGGCAAGATCCTTGGACCATTGGAGGCGCAAGCTCGACAACACCCGCGGCTACTGCCAATCCGTTCCTTTCGTAGCCGCCCACACGAACATAATTATTACATTTAAATTCACTGCAATCTGCTTCTGAAAATCTTGAAAAAATTATCATCATTATTGTTAGAGAAAACTTAGACGTAATAATCAGCTCTATTCGTCTGAAGAGTACGCGTTTTTTACACTTATACTCTTTTTTCATGTATGATAAACATGAAAATGTATTTTTCAAGTATCTATAATATTATCTTTATGATTACTACTATAATTGGTATGGTACGAAACCAAGCAGATGAATTTAAAATTATCAGAATTCATATAAAGTGAAATATAAGTTGCAAAAGACGGTTGTTTGATGAAATTTTCAGTTACATCAGGCATTGGACTTGAGAATTACTAGGACTGCTCGCATTTTATGAAAAAAAAACCCATTCAAATTTTCGCCTGCCAGCGCATCTTTGTCCACCATGTACTGTTGCGTCGTACAGGGTTTGTTTTTTTATGTATTTTGATTTAAAATGGAGATTTTGATTAACGAGTCCTAAAGAATCATGAAAAAATTAACGTGTAATTTAAGCCAGAGGAGCGCCAATTTTTTGTATTTAATGTAGCGCACGTATGTTCTACATACTAAATGACAATTTTTATGCCTGTTAGATATTGCTGTTCATGTTGTGCTAAAAACCACTTAGATCATCCACGTATGTCCGATTGAATTCTTTTTGATTTATAAAATAAATAATTATGGTTTTCAAGAGTCGGTGATGGATATAATTTTAAATAAGTGTTACTGAGAAAAAAGCGAAATATTGAAAAAGACTATAACGCAGTATAGTACTTGTTTTGAATGAGGAAATGATGAAAGAAAAGATGAATTATATTTTTATTTTAAATGTATACAGAAATGGTAACGGCATGTGCGTTACAAACATGCACTTTATAATGAATTTTTGACCTGTTTAATAACTTTAATCAATTTGTCAGGTCAAGTTATTAACAAATATTTGTACATAAAAAAAACTTCATCGCCCTTTTGATTTACATTAATTTATATAGATCATTATGGTAATACTATTTTATTTTATTACGTAATTTATTCTTAGAAGAGGTATCATTATTGCTCTATGACGATTTTTTAAAATAAAAAGTCTAAAACAAAATCTCGTCTTAGTAAAGTAGATGTAGCACCTTTGATTTGCAATAAATAATTAAATTATCAACCAATAACTCAATTTATAATTGTAAATTTTGAAATATACATAGGGTTGTTTAGTAAATTGTGAATAAAAGTTTTTATCCTGATTTTTGATGATAAAACATTTCAATTAAGCATTATATAGACAAATTTTCCTACAGAATATTATTTTAGTACATTCTATTATAGATCAGTCAATTTACAATTTCGGCGTCATAATAGTGCCCTTTACAAATTTATTTTATAAAACTATTATTTACAAACAAAGAATACTTCCTTATAAAGAAGTGTGCATTGAAAGTTGCACACAAAGGTACGAGATAAGATTTTCGTTTTTGTCCACCAAATTTATACATTTTTTTAAGAAGATAACTATCGTGATTTTTATGTTTTGTTTAAAATTGTATTCGGTTTTGTTTTTTTTACGACAAATCTATTATTTTTTTTGTTCAATTTTAAAAAACGATTACTGACATTATATTTCATACTTGGATAAAAGAATAATTAAACAAAAATGAGCATAAAAGATACTAATTATAATGATAAAAATTGGAAATTAAATCTAATATTAATACTATTAAATTATTATAACTCATTATTATTGTAGTCATTATAATTTATCATTATTTATCATGATTAATATGTAATTATATGTTGCACATACTATATAATATGAAAATGTAATTTTATATCAACAATTTGTATTTGTTACTGTTTCATCCAACTTACCAGTATCATCCCTAATTTACTTTATGATTGCAGTTATGTGTTTCAACATTTATGATTATAAAAAATTTTATTATATAAAATATGTAAGCTGCAGGACTAACAATTTTAATCTAAAACTCTTAAAACAGCAATGACTGAAAATAGTTCCCACTTTTGTGGAATTCATAAATTCTTGAATCAATTGAGCTGTGGAAAACATTATGATAATGTAATATTAAAGATAATGATTTTTCAAACAGTACAAAAATAAAATAATACATGAAAAATGTAAAATACAACGGTACGAACTTAATTTTAAGAATAAAAATTAAAAATTAAAAATTGAATAAGAATATTTATTTACTATCAATTATAAAATATATAAACATGTATTTTACATCTTTACAAATGAAATTTTTTTTTTAATTTTGTTAAGTTACTCTTAGTGATAACCCAAGTAAAATCCTATTGCACTTATTATTTTATGCAATAATTACTCTTAGTCTTTAATGATGGTAAAATTAATGAATCAGACTTTTGTGTACAAAAATGAATGCAATGAAATTACTATTATTACAGATTGACAAATATCAACTACTATACGTATCGTTTTACTGATAGAATCATTTACATCAAAAAGTAGTCTTATAAAGAAGTATCATCTGATGAATTATACGACATGGTAGGAAGATAATATGACTGTATTTGAGCATGCAGTCTCGCTACTTCCTCATCTTCTTTTTCTAATGCTCTTATTAACTGTGCAAATTGCACTGCACCTAAATGAAATATTTAAATTAAAATATTTTTATTTTATCATTTATGAAATAAGCCACATTTGATTATGAATATAAATTTTACCATCTCTTCCATCAGTGAAACCATACTTTTTTATTACTTCCATCTGAATTTGCATTACAGTTGGAAATACAATTTGCATTGTTTTTAACATTTCATTACCAGCACTGTCTTTGGCACTGCTAATTTTTTGTACATTTTCTGGTTCTTCTAAAGCTGTCAAAACATCGACGAGGGCAGCTGTCAGAAAAAATTTGCATGATAATTATGAGACCATCATTATTTTTTTAAAAATTGAGTTTGGCTTGTTAAATAAAATTAATACCTTTTGCGGCTTCCGTCGTAATTGTCATCTTCAGAATAACGTAGTGAACAAACGTGAAGTGTGTTTTAATATTTTGGGAGTGTTTATAAATAATTCTTATGAAGTTACTAATAGTTCAATTGAAAATTAAATTTTTATTCACAAACTTTCGAGACGTTTGTAAGGTGCTTTCGATTGACAGATACTGACAAAATCTTCTATTTATAACCTCAAATAGATACGTCAACTCAACCTGACTTCGGTAAGTTTGTAAACTACCGGCGTTTTACCGATGAAGAAAAATCCACAAATATATTCTAGTTTTATTCCATTAAATAGTTCGGTTTTTTTAGTTATATAATTGTAATATTTTCAAATGAAAAATATCAAATTAAAGCAAATAACATTTATTATAACAATAAATACGAATTTGTACAAATTTAGGATACCTTATATTTACATGGGTATTATTCTATTTCTTCTCTTCGACACTACTTTCGTCTTTTATAATTTTGTCTAAACTTAATCTAATTGGTTTGAAATTAATATTAGAAGTGTCTTCTGATGCAGTTTGGTCCTTTTCTTCCTCCTTGACTTTCATTACTTCTACCATATTAACAGATTTCTTTTGACTTCTTTCTTGTCTAATCCTGTTTCTCTGTTCTGTAGCCATAGCCCTATCAAGTTTAAGTTTGGTTGAAAATTCTTCAAAAGCTTTTTCAAATAATTCATTTTCATCAACTCTTTTCTGAAATGTATAGATTGAATTATAGAAAACATAAATAATATAATCAAAAGCATTGTTTGTGTATATATAATGACCTCTTTCAGCTGATTGTAAATATTCAAAAACTGTTCCATTCTGGATGGAACGTTAGGATCAATCATATTGACTGCTGCTAATGCTCTGTGTTCTCTATGGAATCGCCTAAAACATAATTTTGATAATGAATTAAAAATACAGTTGGGTTTCATAATTTATACAATTTTTGATTACTGGCAAGACACTTACGCTCTGACTACATCTTCAGGATAAAATATTTTTCTTACAGGAGTGTCTGGTGCAGGTCTATCAAACCGTGGCTCATATTTTGGTGGAAATGCTTTATATATTTCATACCAAAGAGGTTTATTTTCTTCTTTCATAGCTCCAGTCTTTAATAAAGCAGTGACTCTACAAAAGTTTTAAAATGTCATAATTAATTTGTCATCAAATAATATCAGAGATAATTTTATGAACGCACCTGGAATAGATTGTTCCAATTTTTTCTAATCTACTTTGGGCCATTTTGAATAAATTCAATAAAACTTAGTTATTTTGTAAATAACGTGTTCACTGAATGTTTTTATACTGCACGACTTCTGCTATCCACTCGGAGGTTATGTCACAGCTTTTTAGAATACAAAGTCAACCCGACACGGCGGGACCAGACGATGATTAGGATTTAATTGGTTTTATTATATAAAATATTTTTTATTTATTAAAAAGTAGTTATTGCTCAAGAAGTAAAGAATTATTTGTTTTTTTTCATGAATATAAATTAAAAACAATTTGATACATTTTAAAAAATTGTTAATAATTTTAAAATAGGTCCACATTGAGATCAAAAAGAAAATAAAACCTTTTAAAAATCAACTTTTTGTTCTTATTTTATATGGTTGAACATTTTCGTTGCTGCAGTGAATAAGGTTTTCGATCACTCGAATATTGGAATTCCAGTCGAATGGAGAAAATACGAATACGCGAATTATTTCGACGAATTCTCGAGCCAACACTTTTTTTACTGTCATGATATAAAACTATTTGTTCTTACAAACAATAATTTTCGTTTGAATAAAATAATTTTGTCGATCTTAGTGAGCTAATTTTATATGTTTTTTTGAACGATTTTATTGTTAGAAAAAACATATACAATTGGCTTACTAAGATCGACAAAATTATTTTATTCATACAAAAAATCGTGAGCGAACTTAAATTATAAACTTGAATAATTTTCGTCGTTAAATTCGATAGAAGTACGATTAGTCCACTCCGTGATTATCTTCTCTATGATGAATCATCACTTTCAAAGACCAAGAATATCGACGTATTTAATAATAACCGATAAAAAATAAATATTCCATGAAAAAACAAAGGATTCTGCAGCATCAAACTCACAGAAGTGATATTACGCGTTAGTTGTTAATATTTAACATAAAATAGAAGATAGTAAGTTTTTCCGTTTTTGCGATAATTTTTTTTTCTACCAACTGAAAATATAATAGCGTGCCTATTAAATAATGAACCAAGTCGTGATCAATGTGAAGAATTCCTGTGGATAATTTTGTCTTTTCGTTGAGAAAATCTCAATCTGTCGGCAACAGATGTTATTTTATACGTATATAGCATGTACCGTCGAGTGACACACGTAAAGATTAGTTGTAAAACAGATTTTTTCTAGCTATTTCATTTATATGAGTTTGTAACGTATTGCGCGTGCACATAAATGACTCGCTGTACCAGGACACTTGTGACGTATATCATATTGCTTCGTCTACTTGTTCTGTACTTTCTGTATTATTCCATGTTATCCCTAAAGTAAGACGAGGTGGAGAATCTCAAAAAATAATAAGTATTCCAAAAATAAATCGTTGGTACTAATTATTGTCATTAGTGCCTATTCGTCAGAATAATGAGATGATATTCAATGATATTTGTACTGTGTTAATTAATCAATTTTTTTATCATTTTTAACATTCACTTTTTTAAATAAGTAAATAAACATTTATTGCGATACTTTAAAAAATGTCCTTTAATATTCTGCCATATAACCCATGTTCCATAAATAAGCTGTCCGGGTATTTTTCCGGGGGAAAAGATAAACAACGTTTTATTTTGGAGAAAACATGGGAGATCGTAGTTTACGTGTCCCCCCATGTATGTATGTATTGGTTAGTAGTTAGTACAAGTTACGACGCCGCGGCGTAAAAAGAGGTGCATCGAATCTACCGAGGCAAATGATTTTTTTGTAAAAAATAAAAAATATTTTAAGTTATAAGTGAGTGACTGTGATTGTATATGATTCTGCAAAACGATACAGATGTCTTCCGACGACGAATCCACTAAAAGTTTCTATTCCAATCAAAGTGGCTCAGGCGACGAAAATGTGGATAAATTACTACAAAGACAGATAAAAAATTTGAAAAGCTTACAAATGAAGACCGGTTGGCTCGATTGGTTCTATAAAGATCATCATCTTAATCTACTTCATTTCTTTATCAACATTTGGAGGGGACAACTTCCGAATCTGCGGGACATTTTTTCCAAGAAAGAAATTGAGTTTTTTCTCACTGAAACTATAAGATGTATGTATGAAAACCCGCATGATGCTCGAGGACAACGATTCATTGAGTTTGTAGCTCGCAGCGGTTACAAAGACGAGCCAGATGTGGATGAAAACGGCAAACCACTGCTATGTCGCACTACAGCCCTACATCGTGCGAAAATGTCATTAGACTCTCGAGGACGTGACGTGGCCCGCGAGCTTTTTAAGATTTACAATAGATTTGATGTAAATTACACCGACAAGTCCGGCTTGACACATCTTCATGTGGCTTGCAGGTATGGCTTTGACGATATCGTCGAGAAATTTTTTGAGCTCGGACAGAACCCCAAGTGCCCCGTAGACGTCATAGGTAATTCGCCTCAATACTTTAGGGCGGTCGACACACAATGTATCAAATCGTTGCCGAAAAATAAGAGAGGCAATCATGAAAACTCGGTGGAGACGTTATTCGACACGAGGGGCAAAAAACATCAGTTAGTGCAAATCAATGACCTGGACGAGCGGGGTAAGACACCGCTACATTGGGCTGCGTACGGAAAAAACAAGAAAATAATCGAATTACTATTGAGAAACGGTGCAGACCCGAATCTTGCCACTAAGTATGATGCAATGACTCCTCTGCATATTATTTGCTGCAAAAAACGCGACGAGGACTTGGTAGAGCTATTCTTCAAGATCTGCCACGAAATCAATCAGCCAGTCCGAGTCAATGTCCGTGAAAATCATGGATGTAATACACCATTACATTTGGCTTCGCGCCACGACAGAAACAATAAGGTGTTCGAATTGTTGATGAGTAATGGTGCCAATCCGTATTTGTACGACTCTTGCGATGAGACACCTCTGCATCTTTGTCTTCGACAGGGATACGTTGAAATGACAAGGATCATCTTTATGTTCAATGGCGAAGTCGATCGGCCATTTCCGAGGTCAGGCGAAACACCGCTGCAATGGGCTGTGAAGAATTTCTGGCCGCGTGCGGTCGATATACTTTTGGATCTTGGTGCTGATCTATCTGGCTTCGTCTTTCCCTCTGCGAGTAGCTTAAAATTTATCAAGCCTACGTTTATATTCACAATGAACTCTGAACATATTAATTTTAAATTGAGACAAACTTCTGCTCTGATGGCGATCGTCGATAGTTTTGAGAAAAGAGGATACGAATTGAAAAGAAAAGACGCTTTGAAGATAATGAAATTGTTTTCTTTTTATCGAGGGTACGAGAAGTCAGCTGATGTTGAAAAATTTTGGTTCGATGACGAGGAATTCGAAAGTAGAGCAAAAGAATTGATGATGAAGCCAACAAGCCTATCGCTCTACGATCTGATTCGCTTAAAACCCGAAGAGGCGGCGAAACAACTCACGTATAAGGACTATTTCAGACTCTCGTACAACTTTCGTACTGTCCCCAAAAAGTATCGTAAGGCTTGTACTAAACATCTGAGCGAAAAAATGTCGAAAAGATTTTTCCGGAGATGGGCACTAGATTCTTTCTTGGAACTCACACGCTACCGATTGCCGATACTTTGCTGTGAAATAATCATCGAAAAGCTGAAGAACGACGATTTGTGGTGTATTTGTTTGGCGGCTTCAGGACAAACTTCAAAGTGGCGACATACCGTGTTCTTCCCAATATGTGCCAGGTCTTATTATGATTATTTGTAAAAAAAACGCATACGTCTTATCTTATGAATATACCCTAATGCCTTTTGAGACTCGAGAATTCGACCACGGCTCATTTTTGGCGTACGGCATATTTTCGGTAGAACACAGTACAAACAAATTGAAAATTTTCTAGTACATATTAAATGTTGAAAATCCATGTTATTGCAATAAATAAACGTTGTAAAATGAGTTACAATATTTTTTTTGATAAACGCACGATAATTTGAAGTAAAAGATTTTAAATTGTACATTTATTAATCATGGCCCTAAATCCAGACCAAAGTTAACAATTCACTCAACAAAAGCATAAATATCAAACAAAAATTATACAATTATATGATTATTTCAATTCAATTTTTTCTTAATTAATTAATACACTTTTTTTATAAGCTCACATTTTAAGTTTTAACAAAAGATTTAGGATTACGGATTAAGAAAAAAAGCATTGTTTAGAACCTTAAAATAAATTTTTTCTTAAACCCAGAAGGTTTTTGCATTGTTGAAATTTTTCTTCATGAATTTTTTTGAGATTTTTTAAGTAAAAAAACGGCTTCAGTATCGGTGTAGAGAAAACACACGTCTAACGGAGTGTGTATAGAGTTTTGATTAATTCAAGTTCTTTTGGGTATTATAAACATGTCATCAGTTTTTATACAATTTTTAACAACTTTAAAATCCCATGTTTAAATGGTTTCGGAACAATTTTGATGTTCTTTTAATATATTTATTTTCTCAATGAATTGAAAGTATTCAAATTTTTTTACCGGCGTCAGGAGCCGGCATATTGAATGCCATCAACTTCTGCAAGACGAACCGCGAATCAGTATATTTGTAACTACGCTCGAAGCAAGTCCTCCATTATCGGTTCATTGTCACTTGTACTGCTACACTCTTTACACGATTCACATCTCCTGTGTACGATTATTTTATATTCCTTGTATTTTTGACGGGTTACTTATCGTTACACGATTGCTATATCTTTTGAAAAATTAAAAAGATCGAAATAAAACTTTTTCGGGCTCCATAAGGAGGTAAAAATGAAATACACATTTGCACATGCAGTACAGTACTTTTTTTTACTATGGTGCATTAACCCAGCAATGAGTATTTGCACTTAGTTTATTGAAACTTAATACAAATCTTGCTAAAAGTCATACAGAGGATATCGAATTTTTTACATTAGAGTACAGTACAATGTACATAAAATATCATATTGTATACTGTTGCTTTCATAACGATATGCAATAAACATTGGTTAGAACGCTTTTTTTCATTGATCTTTGTTGAAAAAAGTTTGAATACTCGAAGACATTCGTGTACTAAAAAACACTCGGGTACCCGAAAATCCGACAACTCGAACACCTCTAGTGATTAAAGACTATTACGTATCTAAAATTTCATAATGTTCATCTTCATATTTGCGAAAACTTTTTTTAGTTCTTACATTATAGGTATCTTATACACATTTTACTTGAGTAAATAATGTATCAAAGAGGATATTCCCAAAACAGAGAGAGCCACGGTGATCGATGTTCCCGAATTGCACAGGTCTCTGTCCTTGCAAAAGGCGCACTCTTGCAATTGCATCTTTTCCGGGGGAAAATCGCTCATTATACTCTCACAGGTGGCCGAATCGTGAACACACGTACGCCAAACAGTTTTTCCACCGCCTCGAAGTCCTGTATTCATAAATAACAATTGGTTAAATATCACTAACTGTCGTGACAATATTAAGGATAAAATTCTACTCACTTAAGACTGCTTTTAGACACTTGGAATTTTTGCTATCGACTTCCGCAGGCTCTATAAATTATATTCAATTGTTATTTTAAAAAAAATTATATATTTTTTTTATAATCGTGTTTCGTATCAAGTTTACTTGTAATGAGGGCTGCTAGCGATCCTATAGCACCACATTGATTTAAGAAATTTGCCTGTGTAGTAACGTTCGTCGCACATCTTAAATCATCATCCTCCTTGCATTGGAAACATGTTATAGATTCAGCTGAATAATATGATAAAATTGATTAAAAACATGTATGTTATAGATATGTTAAAATTGTTTGAGAATCGGTAGCACAGTAGAGTGAAATTTAACTTCTTGAAGTAAATATATTTTATGATTATAAAATTTTTTTTAAATAAGTAGTAAACTTCAAAAATATAAGAAACAGAACTTGCAAATAAATAAAAAGCGAATAAGTGTGAAAATGAGTTACCAGGATGAACGATGTAAAGAATCGAAACTGCGAATAAAACTTTCAACCCAAAGTGCACCATTTTGCTTAATTTCAAGAGGCAGTGTTGGCTCTTCGACGAGAAAAATACAACTGTTTTCTAAAACTGAAACGAACTAAAACGTTAAAAAATTATCATCGATAAGGAAGAAGGATTAAATTTCCTTGGTTGTTGTAGATAAAAAAATAGCATTAAAAATTGTGTGAATCATAATGTAAATTGTTTTAATGATTCATTTTTTTGCAAAAACCGTAAAATTACGATCGATATAATCGTCGATCGATTATTGATAACGGTGCGATTTCTCAAAAATGTAAATAAATGAACAACAAAAAATAACTAGGCCACTTAAGATATATCCTTTTAAATATATTTCCATTTAACATTTTGATGAATATGAGTAACCACTATTTGAACTACAAAGTATCCCACAAGGCTCGTTGATAATTATGAGTGTAATTCATAAGTTAAGTGGTGCTATAATTTGGAAAAATTTTATAGCTCCGTTTAAAATGAATAGCTGCATCTTAAGCTCATATTTCCATAAGGAAATCCAGATGAAATTCATCCTGGTAACTTGTGCATGAAGCATCAATCCATTTGTAAAAATTGTACAGTCGAAGAAAGAGATGGGTTACTAGATATAAAAATCCGATATCGGAAGATCCATCATCCGAAGATGGGAGTGTGTGCACAAGCGCATCGCCGAAATATCAACAACCGTATCAGATAACTCGATGGGTTAATTTACACGAAACATCGTTCCAAGTTTTGCAAGCTCATTAAGATAAATTTCGAAAATAAGTGTATTCCCGCAGATAAGGTGGAAAGTCGGGTCCGCGTGAGCGTTGCGGCATAACTGCCTCGATTTTGGGAGCGAGAAACGCTCGGCCGCGTCGTTGGAACGTTTCGGTTCGATCGCGCGCTTTCTCGTTAAAAGTTTGCACGGTTGCACACCATACAACTTTCTCTAGAGGATTTTTTTATGGCTCAAAACTCTTGTAGAGGCAGCATTTCCGTACGATCTAATGCTCTGTGATGTTGGTCCGTTTACAGTATAATTTTTCGCGAGACAAATTCAAAGGAACTACGAGGGGAACGAAGAGTTCAATTTCCAATTGAATTAATTATTGAGTTCGTTCAAATATTGATACTCGTGTACATCGGGCGACATAGTTTCGATCATTCGGCCCGAATTTAAATAAGAGTGAGCAAACATTTAGCTAATGCCGGTAAATTAGCGAAATTTACTTCTTGACATCGCTATACCGAAGTTTCGACTAATTTTATCTAATGTCGACAAGAGTTATTCGAGAGACTCCGAATACGCGCGGAGAACCGTCCTTTTTACGTGTAATCAGACCGTATACGTAAATCACTATCTCGACTAACTGACCGCTGTCTTCGGTGAACGCGCTCGCGTAATTACATCATCGTCGCGCAGCCGATGAAAAATATAATCGCGACACTTTCGCGAGCATGAGTGCAGCAGCAGCAGCAGCTCGGCGTGATGAGATTTTGTAAATTATTGCAGCCAATGGAAGAAGCTGTATTAGCCACACGCGCGCGCGCGCATACGAGCGACACAACTGCAGCAACTGCATCAAATGCGGAAGAATTCAACTCGGGAGCGTGCGTGTTATTATTACGATTTAAAAAACCTTTGTCGAGAGTCGATGATTTTTGCATGCATCGGTTGTGTCGTGCCTATGTGGCCGATATCGAACGTTTACGTCCGATATATAACGTATCGATGAATAAATAACGAGCCGTATAGGTAGGTACGATCATCGTGTTGGACGTGGTATATAAGGCAACGAGCATTATTGCGCGAAAATTGAATATGACGAAACTCGAAGTCGGCCGATGCCGCGCTGAAAAAGGAGTCTGAAAAAGGAGTCCTAGACAGGGGAGGGGAAGGAGCTGCTGTTGGTTAATACCACTGCATACGTTAAGATTGGCCTGCTCCGTCTAATGGTTATTATATCACGCGGCCAACGTTATAAGTAAACGTAGGTATAACGTTTAGCATCGCGCAAGTGTATATATATGCGTACTCGATGATGTCTGCTTATGTGCAATATCCGTGTGTATAACAAGCGCATAGGGCGAGATCGACGGAGAAAGAGAGATAGTGTGACGTACATTATAGCGTGTAAAGAGCGCCACGACGACGCAAAGCATCCTATATATAGACACGCGGATATATAGCATAGAGATAGAGTCACATCGAGGTATCTCGTGTATACCTATATACATCGAGATACATTATTACCGCGAAGAAAGAGAGACAGAGCGCGAGCGAAATCGTGCGACGACGACGACGACGGTGTGCTCTCGGGCGCGCGCGACGAGTAAGTCGAGTAGAGAGGGTAACGTAACGCACAGCCAGCGACGATCATCGCTCAGTGAACTAGAAGACACCGACAAAAATCGCGCGATGTGCCGCGTGGTCTGCTAAAAAATTTGCAAGTATCACGCTGCCAGCGCCGAATTCATCCACATACAACTTGTGCGTGTGTCGTTGTGGCGTTCCATCCCCAAACGTGCAGCGGAGCGCAAATAGGAGTCGTGTACAGCACCTAGTTCGTGGCCCGTGTCCACCACTGCAGGAGGAATTGAAGATATTGTACATATATAGACTGTAGAGTGCTCGCTCGCTCTCTGCGGTGTTTACGTGCCCCCGTGTTGTTTCCCGAACTCGGTGCGTGAGCGCGCGTGTATGTGTATGATACCCGCGCGTGTGTGTGTTTGTGACAAGAAGAGAAAAGAGAGAAATTATATATCGCCAAGATATATACTATAGCACGCGCGCACACGGACTCGGTGCAGGGCAACCTCGAAAGCTGAACCGTTATTGGCACGCTGACGACGACGACAACTCGACAACAGCATCATCGTCATGCAGCCCTTCAACAAGGATAAAATCCTGTCGAGCGGCCAGCTCAAGCGGCTGAGCGAGCACAAGTACAGCTGCTCGTCGGCGAGCTTCCTGGACAGCCTGCTGCAGCCCTGGTGGGAATGGCTGACGCAAAAGCTGCCGCTCTGGCTCGCGCCCAACCTCATCACCGTGCTCGGCCTGCTCGTCAACGTAGCCACTACGTTGATACTCGTCTGGTACGCGCCCGATGCCAAAACCGAGGTGAGTGAGACAGAAAGAGTGATCATTTTAATAGACAAAGACGGAGCACACGAGAGATTTCGCACATTTTAATTGCAATGCTGCATATATATATACGAAAAGGAATGAAGAGAAAAAAAACAGAGTCAGTTCGATAGCGCCTCGCTCTATACGACACATTATGAATGCATATCGTTCGTTCGTTCGCTCGTTCGTTCGTACGTTCGTTCGTGACTTCTACGATGCGGTATATAGAGCTAGCGAGCATGATTTTTGTTTTTTCCTTCCTTTTTTTTTCTTTATCTTCGAAGGCAGCACACGAGTTTTGTCGCCAATGTGTATCGTACTTAGATATATATACCCCAAGTACGCTCGACTCACAATGCGCTTTGATATACACGTATCTATACATGTATGCTTGTTCTATACCTGTGTGTTATGAAAGCACTGGCGTAACAAGCTATACTTTATTTGCTGAACTCAGCAATTTATCCTAATATTTCTATGTGTATCTATTTATTTTTGCTACATGTTTTCATTTGTATCATGCTGATATTATCAACAAGTTATGTTTGGATTTCAATGTCAATTGTCAATTTAATTTTCCCATGATGCATGCATTTTCATGCAAATTTATTGTAGTACAAAATAATTTGAACCCCTCTGCTACAGTTGACTATAGTTATAAACAATGATCTTTTGATTCATTAACATTACACGTTTATATATTCCCTATATATTGGCCAAAATTATCTATAATAATGCTGTACTATTATTATTATTCATTTTTCCCCAATCATTTCTTTTCTTTGTTTTCTTAGTCTTTGAATAAATTTTTATTGATTTATTTTCTATTTATATAAAAAAAAATGACAATTTTCCTCATCTTTTTCTTTCAAATTATAAATTAAGCTACAAACTAGACGTAAACATGCTATGATGCCATTAATCTATGAATACCTATTTGTCAAGCATAAATAAGTGTTTTTAGTTTTTATCATGCACTATTGAGTCATCAGTTTATATCTACTGTTTGTTTGTTGTAAAACCTTGATAACCATTGAATGACTTCAAAGGTTTCAATCTGCTCTATTCTTTATTTAAAGAGTTTGATGATAATAATTTTAATTAGGCTTTTTTTAACATTGTATTAATCACAGTTCAAGGACATACAGATTATCTTTGTATACTTTAAAATCAAGTTTCAAGGTTTAAAAATAATTTTTAAATTTTACTTAATTTCTTTCAGCCACCAAGATGGGCATGTTTTTTATGTGCGCTAGGACTTTTTATATATCAAAGTTTAGATGCTATTGATGGTAAACAGGCAAGAAGAACTAATACATCTACACCACTTGGGGAACTGTTTGACCATGGGTGTGATTCTATTTCTACAGGTAAGATCAAAATAACAATCATCAATCTATGAACAATTTTTTTATTTTTATTATTGATTTTTAATACTTTATTCATTTTTTGCAGTATTTGTTGCCTTGTCAGCATGTATAGCAGTGCAATTAGGATATTATCCAACATGGATGTTTTTCCAATGTTTCTGTGCTATGACACTTTTCTACTGTGCTCATTGGCAAACCTATGTATCAGGTATAAAAATTTATTTTACTTCTCTGGAGATAATTATTAAAATGTTTGATTTTGCAGGTTCGCTGAGGTTTGGAAAAGTTGACGTAACAGAAGCTCAATTCACGATAATGGGAATTCACATGATATCAGCTATTTTTGGACCTAAAATTTGGACCATGGAGGTTGTATACTTTTCATTTTTTCAAAAACCTGTTACCTTTGAATGTAGTCGATTTATTCTTATAATTCATATTAGGTACTAAATTGTTAAGGAATTTATTTATACAAGCTGGTTTAATAGAACTATGAGTTTTAATTATTCATAGATAAAGTTGATTCTAAACATCTTTTTTAAGATCTACATCTTGCACAAACACATTTGAATTCACTATAAATTTTCGTGTGATTTAGTTCAATTGACTAGCTATAGTTGCCTAAACATTATTAGTGAATATTATTGATCATCTGTGTGTAACTGCAAAAAGTTATGATTTTATTCAAATTTCACTATTAATTTACATATTTATATGTTGTGAAACACATTTTTATTGTGAAATTGAAAAAGTGTATTGTGTTTGAAAAGATAACAAAATAATTTTTTACAGATACCATTTGTAGAGGGTTTTCAGTTTAAATATTTGATAGGAGTTATGACAGTAATCTGTGCATTGACAAACTTATACCCCATTCTTTCGGTGATTTTAACCGGAGGTGTGGGCAAGAATGGTTCAACTGTGGCTGTAAGTTAAATAGCTCGATGTTTGATTGAAAATTTAGCATTTAAAAAAGATCTAAGTAATTTTGATCTGGCATGGCATGAGGAGCAGAGCTGAAATATTATTTATTGACATGTTGCATTTTTAACAGTTTTTTTCAACATTGCTCTTAATATCTTTACTATGAAACCCATTTCTTTCTTCAATTCTTTTTTAATTTACTAAATAGATAATTTTTATTTTTGTAAAAATTTGAGTTAGATAATAACTATTTAATCTTTAACATTAACTTGATCATGATAACATGAATGCCTTGCAACAAATGATTAATTATCATAAATAAATATTATCATAGATCTCTTTGCTTTCTTGATACTAGATTTGTTTCATATATTCTTGCATGAATAATTGCATTCCGTTAAAACTACTGAAAGGCTTTCTATTGCATTTTATTTTATACTTTATCATAATTTTATGAAAACTTTTCTACTTTTTTGGTGATTGGGGGAGTTCTTTCTAATAGGTATTTGAAAGTATTAATTAAATCTGTGACTCTCCAAAAGTGAACATTGTAGTCTTGTGAATTGTCATGCTTTGTTATCTATCTAAAGTTTTTTGGGTGGCTTCTTTCATTTCCTTTCTTTTTTATCTGATGATATCGGTTAATAAAACTGGTTAATGAATCAAGAAGCATAAAATGTAATATTGCATTATTAAAAATCTACTGAAAAATTAGAATTATAACACTAATCCAAAAAGGTCGCCTAAAAATACCTTCAAAATTAAATCAATTCATAAAATAATTTTAGTCTTTAGTCTTACTGTAAAAAAAATGAATTGAAATTGATACTTTTCAATCCTTGTCATCAATTTTTTATCAAGAAAAAGTGAAATTAATTGCATTCAGCAGCCCCTCGTGCAGGCCTTTTTTTTAATATGGTCACAGAAAGAACCTATTCAATAAAAAGGTAAAACTGAAAAACCAGCTCGGATAGAATTCATTAATTTTTCCGTTCGTTTTTTATTCTTCGTACGCAACAGTGCAGATGGTTTATCAATAATTTCTACGATTTTCTTCTTTTATCAACATGATGACACAAATGACATTATGACAAACAATTGACTAACTCGAAAGACTTATCCATGCTGTTTAGATATATCTACCTGGTTTGAGCACCCTGAATACTATTATAGCTGTATCGTTTTCCTCTGGATATGTAAATATGTTCAATCAATTCTTTAAAGTCTTTAAAGAAGGCGGGGTTGGAAAAAATGGTTCAACAGTTGCCGTAAGTGCCGATTAAAATCACTATCGATTTTAAAAGGTGGCAGATAATCATTTTTATAATTATCAAGGTTGCATTGGATTAATGAAAAATTGTTTCGATTCATTGAAAAGGCTGAGCACAATCAGAGTATCGGTTATTTTGTAAAAAAAAAATAGTCACTGGTAAATAGTCATAGTCATAATAAAAAAAAATGATGGAGGTTTTCACTTAACAATCATTTACTTTAGTCAAGTAGTTATTATTTTCTTTACTATAAATATCAATGGCAATTTATTACTTTCACTTTGCTTCATATTGGCACAAATCTGCACTGTAAAACTCATCGGTAAGCACGTAAATTTACGATAAGGGCATAATTGCGAATTCGTCGTTAATTTGTAGCTCTAAGGTTTAGGTTTACTCAATTGGTGCTGTGTTAATCTAGTTTTCAGTAATATTACAATATTAACTCTTGTGGTTGATGAATTAACTGCATTAAACTTACTAACGGCATTGGTCATCGGAACTGGGAAAAAAAGCTAAACTTTTAATGTTTTTTTCTAAATTGCCCATAAATGAAACTATATGAGCCACCGTCGAACACATTTTGACCAAATCTTCAAGTTAAAGAAAAAATGCTGCAGCTAAAAAGGCAGCAAAAAGTCTACATGTTTCTTTTTTTATTATTGATTGTTTTGCCAGAAAAGTGTTTCACTGCATAACTCAATTTCGTTATTTTATATTATGTAGGTACTTAATAGTTATGACTTATAATGTGTGTTTATGAAAACGTCTTGGCTATCGAACGATTGTCACGATGTATTGTTTTTTAAACAATTTTTATTATAACTGCTGTACTACGATTGATAATGTTTTAGCGAGTGTTGACATTTTTCCCCCCTCTATGAAAGCTTAAAAATACCACGCACTTTTATCACAATTTCAGTGTATCAAAGAAGCAAAATCACTGATTATTGATATACGTTTTTATATATTATTGTTATCCCCGAAATTGCATTCTTATAAATTGCATAGCTTCGCGGTACATACGAGAAACTTGTGTAATTAAAGCTTCGAAAAATGTTTTCAATCAAACCGCTCACCTCGCTATCTGTTTTTCACGAAGTTTTCACTAGTCAAATAATACAGTTGTTTCATTATTTTCTAAAAGCACTTCAACATGATGATTAACTTGATTGTGTTTTTTGTCAAACTCGTCCAAGTGAAACTTTATATGTACTGTACACATTCGGAGTCATACTAATAAACTTTTTCAGTTTTCATTTGACACGATTAAACAAAAGAACAAAAAATAATAAGAAAATTAAATCGTATTTATGAAAAAGAAAAATAAATAAAAATGAATAAATCATCGTATCATATAGTCGAACTAACAAAAAGAAACTTTCACTTTGTCCATAATGTAGTTGCCATACACTGGCACAGAGGTGAAGATATATCCGTTGTGGGGTTCAGTGGGCATCGCTCTTTTGCTTGCGTTCAGCAGTATGTCCGTTATTCTTGCCGGTGGTGTCGGAAAGAATGGCTCCACTGTAGCAGTAAGTCATCGTGTCATCTTGCTGTCACACGTATCCATCATTGAAAGAGAAAAAAAACAACAATCTGTCAAGCTCATTAGATTTATCAGCTATTTTTTTTTATTGTCATTTTTGATAACTCTCACACGTATAAACTCACCAAAAGCTTTGTATGATGAACGAAAAAAGCTCGAATCATGCAATACCCACCGTAATTGACTAAAATATTTTTCATATATTTTCCTGAAATCACCTTAATCAGCACCGTATTTTGCTATTATTATACTCATGAAAAATCTCTCAACGCAAGACTTTTCACGTTTGTTCGTCGATTAATATCGCTATATCCATCATATCCGATCCTGCAATGAGTTGACCTGCCGTTTCAACATTGCAATGCTTTTCTCTATATAAATATCGCGAGAGCATCATCGACGCGTGTACTTGCCGCGAAAAACTGTTTTGCATATTTCGCGAAGGCATGTCCCGATTGATCCTCTCTGCATTTTTCTCTTTCTTCGTATACATGCAATTTTTCATACCATCTCGTGTTTCACTTTTTAACAATATGCACTCTGTTTTTTTCCTGCTCTAAGGCATCCAATCATCTATCTTGTACTAACAAAAATGTTCAATATTTGCTTGCTATTGTACTAATCGCTCTCCGAGATTCTGTGGTGTTGGACGTCCTGTAGAAGCGGTATTATTTACTAACTGCAATTTAATTACTTTTCCTCTTCACGTGATTAACCATCGAATGATAATGATAATTTTTTTTTTAATGCAAATTCATTGCGATTGACTTTGCTCGATATTATACCTTTGCTCCAATGTGTTGCTGTCAAAAAATGAATTTGCAATAAAATTTGTTTGTGGGTTTTTGTCGAACGTCATACGGATACCTCCATGATTTTCAAACTTCTTTTCAGGGAACGTCGGTACTGTCCCCCGTCATACCCTTCAGCTTCGTCGTCGTGCCGGCCTTCATTATTTACTGGAAGAGTAACGAGCACGTCTACGAAAATCATCCAATTTTGTACATACTCGCGTTCGGAATGGTCGCTGCCAAAGTCACGAATCGCCTTGTCGTAAGTATCTTTGGGCAATTTATTTCATTGTTTTTTTTTTTAACGAATTTCGAGACATAAAATTTTTTTTTTCTTTGCACAGGTCGCTCACATGTCCAAGAGCGAGATGCAGTATTTAGATAGCGCATTGTTAGGACCGGCGATGCTGTTTTTGAATCAGTACTTCAACTTCTTCATCAAAGAGTATATCGTTCTTTGGCTGTGTTTCGTAAGTTTTTTTTTATCAACTTTTATATTATTACGTGAAAAAAATCAGCTCTACTATTTTCCTAAAATATCTCTTCGTCTCTGTTTTTAACAGATCTGGGCTACTGTGGATTTGCTTTGGTACAGTGCAAAAGTTTGCCTGGAAATCTGTGATCATCTCAACATTCACTTATTCAAGATACCGTTGATGGAGGCTGCCCAACATCAGCGCAACAATGCCGGATCGTCGGACAAAAATGGTACTTCTATTACTACCAGGTCTCAAAGTAGAAGGCTATCGAAAAAGCACTAGATAAAAAAAAATAAATAAAACGATTGTAATAATGAATGCACCACTCGCCACTCGAGAATTGAGTAAGCTGGGATTTTGGTGGAAAATTTAACGGAGAAAGTAATGGGTGGCGAGAGGCGTCAATTAATCGTGATAACTGTACATAAGTATCATAAAAATCTTTAAAAAAATACATAGAAAGGAAGTATCGGTACATTCATTGTTGTGGTCGCATTCGCTCACTTATCGATCAAATGGCAATTTTTCATTAGCTCTCTCTCTGTCTCTTTCTCACTTAATTTACGATTTAAAACGCACTACTCCACCAGAATATCGAGGAATTGCTTACTCTTATATAAGACTGTTATTTGCTATAGATAAGTGAGTATCATTGGTGAGGGTAATGTTTCGAAAGAAGAAATCAATCATTTTGAACTTGTCTTTTTATTTTATTAAAATAGTTTAAACTGGCGTTTCTTTTCACATGACGCTTATGCGCTACAACGTAGCTTAGAAGACAATTGTTATTATTTCGTTACCGGAACTCATATTATAGAGAACTAATGAATATTCCGCTGACCTAGAATCATTTTATTTTTAAAAGAAAGTCGTTGATACGTTTTATTTTTAATTTTTTTTTTATAATTTACAAGTTTGAGCTTTAGATTTTTGTCAATAAGATTTTTTTGACGATCGAATGAATCATCTTGTGCTACATTAAGTTATTTGCTCTTACTTTGTTAGTTAATTGGCTAACTGTACAATGAATGCTGTTTATTATGCATCTTTTAAGTCTTGAAGAGAACTTTATGTACATTAGTTTACATGATAGAGATAACTTATGCGTAATTCAATATTTTGTAAATATTGCTATAGTTTTGCTTTTTCGTTTTAACAAGAGAAGTGATGCTTTCTTCAAGCTAAGCATCAATATATTTTCTTAAACAAAACGAATTGTAAATACTTATACAAAAGTTGAATAATTGAATTTTTCACTTATTACAACGGTAATCAACAAACATTACTGGCACCTAGTTAATATGGCTGTACGGTCTAACAATTTTATTCCAATAACTCATAAAAATGTCTATCAATGTTTTGATTGTACTAATACAAATTATCAGATAAATCAGTAAATTGAATTTTTTAGCACATTTGGCTTTAAGCAACTTTGTTTTCACACTATTTTGTTTCACAGCTTGTACAAACGGTTCTTACGATGACATGAGGTTAAGACGGGACAATTAAAAATCAAACACCCGGACATTAGACATAAATCTTATATTTTTATGACTGTTACTCAAGCCGTTTTAATATTAACAATAGAACTTCCACTTTTTACGGAGGATCTTGCAAATCTAGGTAGACCAAGAAATCATGATCAAAATGAAAAAATGAAAAAAATAAACGATAAGGGATTCTGTAATTTTATTAGTAAACTGAATTTATATTTAGAACTGAGGTGAAATTTTATAAAATATTGTATTGAGTGTACAAGCTGTATATTACAAGACAAGAATTGAACAATCGGATGTGGTAACGAGCTCCAATAAAGCATCTTATACCATAAATGAAAATTGCAAAATTTTTATTATTAACAATGAACTTGTCAAAAATACATCCTTATATCCTTGTAAATTGTAATTAATGCTTCGAAAATAAAAAATTCTGTCGCGTAAGTAATAAGCCACGCATTCTTTAGCATGATTTACTTAAGAGTTAGTAAACTAGTTTGAAATTGAAATCCTTGGAGCTCGTAAAATATGCATGATTGACTAAAATTTAAAGTATTTAATTTTTTTTTGTAATTTCCTACTATTAACTCTGTACTTTGATCAAAATTTCTAATGCCAACATTAATACTTGTATTGCTATTTTATTTGACTGCAACAAAAGTAATGCACAAAGACTAACCATAATATTGATTTCTTAACTTATACATAAAAGTAGTTATTCTGTATCGTTGCACAAATGAAAGAATTCGTAGATACTCTCTCTAATTTGATCTTTTCGTAGATACTCTCTTCAAATTATCTGTCAAGCACGATAACGACGAGACCTCCTATAATCTTTGCTATCTTGTGTGCACGAGTAAGTTCTATTTATTTGCAGACCTAATGTCAGTGGATCGAGAGCCTCTGCTATCGTCGAACGATGAAAATCAGCAGCTGCAGCAACGACAGCACACTTTGCAATTGCCGCAGGATCATGATTATCAACATCAACAGCAGCAACAGTACCGTCATGGATTAGACAGCTCATTCGATCTCTGATACGCAGACAAGCCTCGGCAAGATTTCGTTCTCATTCAAATGCACCAATCCGACGACGATGGCGTTTCACTAGAAATATAGCTTCGATGTTATTAATTTTTTTGTTGAAAAAGAGATCTGCATTTTTTATTTATATTTAAACCGTTATAGATGTATATGAATTAAGACGGCAACAACATTATGTTTCACCCTGGAAACATTAGCCCCAAGTTCTATTGAAAGCTAAAAGTAAATATTAAACTATCAATAAGTTTTTAACAAGATTTTCCCGAGGAAATCATTCAGATTTACTTGGTTGAAAATTTCTCAAGTCAAATTAAATTAATTAATGTTTGAAGTAAATTCAAAGTTTGGTAATCACAAAACTTGTAAATAATTATATTCATTGGTGGGTGTTTTAAGGATTCAGTATTTACTATCTTTTATCGTGTTTGTATGAGAACTGCGAATGTGAATGTTAAAAAATAGTAAAATATTTTCTAGATTTTATACGTTACTATAGTTAAATAATGTTGCACTTTAAAAAAAGACTGGTGAAAGACACAATAAAAAGTTTCATGACTTATATTCGAAATCCAGTTCACGAATTGAATAATTTTAGCTCGATAATAAACGCTCGTTGGTGCTTGTAAAGATGTGCCTAATCTCAAATGAACTTGTATGACTAGTCGTGAATTTTTGTTTGCAAGATTCATAATTGTCATGATCTTTTATTCAAAGTCTAACTTTTACTTTAAATTTAGACTAAATTTTACATGAGAGCTGCGTCTTAAAACTTGCTGATGTTAAAATTACTCGTGAATTTTCGTATGAAAATTGAAATCAAAACGAAATGACTTGAAAGGAGTTATTGGAAATAAAGTAGATATATTTTTCACGAGAGAAAATAATATGTTAATACTGCAGCATGAGTTTTAACGTGATACAAGTATTTATTAATCATGAGTGTTCTTGTTGAGCATGTCTGATTATTGATTGTTCAAATAAAATGGTTGAATTTTATAAAACAACGAAAAATTTTCGTTTATCATAGTACTTGAATGTTTTTAGGATTTTGTAAGCGAAAGAATGTTGTCTGTATTTTTAAAAAGATGGTCTTTTCAAAAATTTCGTGATTTAGAAGCTTTGAGCGACCACCACTATTGAATAGATAAAAACTTGATTTATTCAATAACATAATGATAGTGGTAACGTTTAGTCGAACTTTTATCTTGATATAATATTGAAATGTTGTAAAGTCTTTAAAAGTTTTTTCTTATCATAAATAAAAATCAGTCATTGTTTCACAATAGACAAACGTGTACCTTAAATCCTTGACTTATGCTTGACTTTCCTTTCATAAAGTAATTAGTTTTAAAATGACAAAAATTCTCCGAAGAAATTGTCGTCGAATTTCAAATTGGTTCAAATATTGTAAGGACAATAAGTAAGTGAATAAATCGAAAACATAATTGTAAACAATTTACTCACAGACAATTTTGTAATAATCCCTCGAATACTGATTATGATTATGGTAAATCAAATGAGTATGAAAATCGATTCATACTACCAAAACATAAATTTTACTCATTCAGTTTCCGTAGTTCTAAATAAAATGACCCATCGTTTAATTTAGACTCGAGAATGGATAAAAGTGAGAAGAAATTCGAGGAAATCATTAAGAAAAAATTTTTACGTGAACTCGACATTGTTGATTCAGACAACAGAGAACACGTTAGTGATATTTCTCAAGAGGCATTTACACTGGAATCAAGTATGATAACACGAGGAGACACAATTCACAATGAACAAATAGGTTACCCATGTGACCAGTGCAAAAAGAAATTTGTGAAAAGATCGATTTTGTTTGCACACCAACAACTCGTACACAAAGATCAGGAAGATTTCACATGCGACCAGTGCGAGAAGAAATTTGAGGATCGAAGCAATTTGAACGAACATCCAAAAATAGTCCACGAAGGTTGCAAAAATTTCCCGTGCGACAATTGCGAAAAAAAATTTGGACAAAAATCAAATTTGCTTACTCACCAAAGGACAGTCCACAAAGGTTGCAGAGATTACGCATGCGACAAATGCGATCAGAAATTTGGACTTAAAAGGAATTTGATCCGGCACCAAAGGACAGTTCACGATGGTCGTAAAGATTACGTATGTGACAGATGTGAGAAGAAATTTGGACAAAAAATTCATTTGCTCCGCCATCAAAAGACAGTACACTACGGTTGCAAAGACTTCGCATGCAATGAGTGCGACAAGAAATTTGTGTTTCAAAGCGCTTTGATTAGGCACCAAAGGTTAGTACACGAAGGTTGCAAAGATTACGCTTGCGGGGAGTGCGAAAAAAAATTTGGACAAAAATCAGATTTATTCAAGCACAAAAAGACAATACACGAAGGTCGGAAAGATTACGTATGCGACAAATGCGAGAAGAAATTTGGACAGATATCGAATTTGCTTACTCATCAAAGGACAGTCCATGAAGGTCGTAAAGATTACGCATGTGACAGTTGTGAGAGGAAATTTAGGAAAAAATCACATTTGTTAAAGCACCAAATAACAGTACACGAAGGCCGCAAAGATTTTGTTGCGACCATTGCGATAAGAAATTTGGACTAAAATCGCCTTTGCTCACCCACCAAAAGTCAGTACACGATGATCGTATAGAATACGAATGTGACAGGTGCGAAAAAAATTTTGGACTCAAATGGATCTTGCTTTTACACCAAAGGACTGTACACGAAGGTCGAAAAGATTTTGATTGCGATATGTGCGATCAGAAATTTGAACAAAAATCGACTTTGATTTTGCATCTTATAACAGTCCACGAGGATCAGAAAGATTACACATGCGAAAAGTGCGAGAAAAAATTCGGACACAAACATACTTTGCTTTTACACCAAAAGACAGTACACGATGGTCACAAAGATTTCACGTGCGATTTGTGAGAGAAAAAATTTGTGGATGAAAGCAACTTGAGAGATCATAAAAAAATAGTCCACAAAGGTTGCAAAGATTTTGATTGCGACCATTGCGATAAGAAATTTATACTAAAATCGGTTTTGCTCGCCCATAAAAAGACGGTCCACGAAGGTTGTGAAAATTTCACTTGCGACAAATGCGAAAAAAAATTTGGACTCAAATGGATCTTGCTTTTACATCAAAGGACAATACACGAAGGTCGAAAATATTTTGATTGCGATCATTGCGATAAGAGATTTCGACAAAAATCGACTTTGATTTTGCACTTAACAACAGTCCACGAGGATCAGAAAGATTACACATGCGAAAAGTGCGAAAAGAAATTTGAACACAAACATACTTTGCTTTTACACAAAAAGACAGCTCACAAAGGTAGCAAAGATTACGTAAGCGAAAATTGCGAGGAAAAATTTGGACGAAAATCGATTTTATTTTTTCATCAAACGACAGTAAACCGAGGTCGAAAGGATTATGCATGCGGCAAATGCAAGAAGAAATTTGGACAACAATCTACGTTACTTTTGCATCAAAGGACAGTCCTCAAGTGTGAAAACAAATTTGGATTAAGAGGCAATCTGATCAAATACCAAAAAACAGTCCACAAAAGTCGAAAAGATTTCGCATGCTGTATCTGCGAGATCAAATTTGTATGTATAAATCAGTTTTGTTGAAGCACCTTATGACAGTGCATGTGGATCGCAGGATTATGCGTGGGATAAGTGCGAGAATAAAATGATGATTGACAATTATAAATATGTATAGGTACTTATACAGATTCATTTTTTAAATTTTTCAATAAAAAATTAATGGGTCTCACGTGAATCTCTTCTTGTCAACACACTTTTGTTCACTACCATGGCGGTGTTTTATTTTATTGACTACTACTGCTTGTATTTGGTTATCGGCAGCTCTTCATGCAATGATCAAAACGAGAATTATTTTTTCACGTCTTGTTTGGAGCTGAGAATGGAGAAAGTTTTCAGATGGTTACTAGATTTTTATCAAACCTCTTGTAATAATAACGCAATGCTGATTTAATTAAACATGTCCTTGTGAACAATTTTTATGAAGTTGTGGAGACTAATAATATTTCTGTCAAGAGAAAAGTGATCGGTAACAATAATACATGTTCTAATTTTAAAACTTAACTTGGAAACCATTTTATAATATAATTTAAACCAAAAAATCTTTTCTTAATTTCTTCACAATAAACAATAGTTCTAATGAGGGGTTTTTCATGTTCTTAGTACTTTTATTAAGATGTCTTGGCCACAATTTTTATTGACCAAGCACAGAAAATGTATATTTTCGTTACTTTTTTTACAGGCTGATTTTCGAAAAGCGGCTCTGTGGAGCCCTCCGTATTGTTGCTGTGAACAACTGCACAAAATTTCAGCCGATTTCATCGGGTAGTTTTCCTGGAAAACAGGATCA